CTGTGCTCCCTGGATCTCATGCATCTGGTTCTGTTTCCATTCCTAGCCACTCCTCCAAGAGCTTCTAAAGGTCACTTTTTTCCCCTCAAATTCAAGCGGCTTGGGAGGCAAAGCGCTAGCTTCCGGCCACTGAGGCACCACCCTTTCTGGTAAGACATTCTCTTGGTTCCCATCACTGTGTAATCAGGCCAAGGCACTGAAATGGACATTTTCCAGTATTCTTTGCTGTGCCCAAACCAAACCACTAAGTGACAGATGCCCAGAGAGACAAGAGCCAGAGGGGACAGGGTACGGATCTTGGCGGAGAAGAGATAGCATACTCAAACTGGGTCACTGGAGGGGAGTTGAGGAAGGAAGCTATCTACAAAGGGTGGAAGGCCACCATAGGGATAGTGTAAGGCTAGTGACAGAGGGGCTCTCACTCTCCTACCCCTGGGAGGGCCCCCACCACCTGGAGACTGAGAGGGCTGTACAGAAAGGGCCACCTGACAGGGCCTGTGACTCTGGTGAGTGGAGGAAAAAGGATCAGCGCAAGGCAGCCCCACAGGGAGGCATCCGGGAACGAAGTCTCCTGACCTCCTATTCCTCCCCACCCCCATCTTCTGCTACAGTCCCCCATTAGGAGCCAGAGTCAAGAGAGCCCATTGATATCACCCAGAAGGGCAGCCTCCTGGGGTATGGAGCATGAGAAGGGGACAGTGAGTCTGGAGGATCCAACAGGAACCGTACAGCACAGGGTAGGGCGAGGGGCTTGGGCTAAGGGGCTTCCGTAGTCACCATCTCAAACACTTACTGTGGCTCCCCACTTCCGACAGAGTAAGGCCCAAGTTCTCAGCCTGGCATTGAAGGATCTTCACACTCAAGCTCCAACCTGCCTCCCTACTGGGAGAGCTACAGGTGCTTCACATAACCTATCTGCACAACATATGGTAGGTAAATCCCATCATCATTTTATATAGGAACTGAGTTTGCCCGAGATGACACAGTTGGCAAGTGATGGGGCTGGAATATGAACCCTGGTCCCCTGCCACCAAAGCTGATGCTTACTGGTTCTGCCATCCTGCCTCCTCACTGAGTAATAAGTGGATAGACAGCAGAAGCAGGTGCAGCTCATCCAACCCATGCCTGCTTCACGGAAACGATCTCAGTAAAGGGGAAGGAATAAAAAGGAGGGGTGGAGAAAGGAATGAGCAAGGTGAGCATAACATATGCTGGCCTGTAGGTTCTCATTTTATTCTCCGAAGTGTCAGAGCCAGGGTTTGACTCAAAACGCACCGACTGCCTGGCAGGCAGAGCTAGCCTCTGCAGAGCGGTGCCTGCAAGATCCCTAGTCCTTTGTCTATACCCCAACCCAATGCTGCGTCTCTCTCAGAGCCCCTGAAATTCGCTCTGTTAATCATGGCTTAGAGTTAGACACATCTATAGAAGGTCCCTGTTAGAATGAAAATGTTACTGGAAAGAGAAGCATACAGGGCTAATGGCATCAGGCTACCCTTAGAGTTGTGAAAATGTGTGTGTATGCGTGTGTGTGTGTGTGTGTGTGTGTGTGTATGAGAGAGAGAGAGAGAGAGAGAGAGAGAGAGAGAGAGAGAGAGTTAGTTAAAGGGCTCAGGTGCCCAAACACCACCATTAGAGATTTGGAAGAACCTCCCTCAAGGATGCCCTGGAAGGCAGCACAAGAGATGCAGCATGGTGTGGTGGGAAGAGGACTGTAGAGATGTGGGTTTTGGCTCGGGGTGGTCCACTGAATTGCTGTGTCTCTAGGAGAGTTACTTGCCCCACCTTCACTTCCCTTTGCCCCCTGTAAAAAGAGAGGCATTAGATGAGACGCTTACATCTTGTTCCAAGACCCGAAAGGCCCCTTTACCTTTTGTTAGCTGCTGAGACACCAGAGAGGGGTTCCCTCTGTTCATGCCTCCCTACTCCAGCTAGGGCAGAACTGTGAGGGCTGCAGAGGACACTCTTGGGATGACTCCTGGGAGACCCCCTCCACCAGGGTCCCCTATCCTGTGCCCATGACTGGCATGCTCCAAGGGGGCCTTTCTGCCCACAGCTGTGTCTCCCACCAGCACAGTTAATTTGCTGCCATTCCTGGGAAGTGACAGCAACTTGAAGCAAAACAATTAGGATGAAAAAGAGGCCCAGCTGCTTGGGGCCAAAGGAAAATAAACAGACCAGCCCTGTGTGTATTCCACCGCCAAGAGGAGCAATTCTTCACAGAGTGATTACCACTTCCAGTTCCAGTCTCCGCCTCTCCACTGAAGGCAGAGAAGTGACCTACCAGCTGCTGCTGTTCTCAGATCCCATTCTTCCCAAAGTGAACAGTGGACTTGACAGCTCATCACCTGCTCATGAAGGCCTCCCCTAATTACCTAGCCCACCACCCCCTGCAGAAGTGATACCCTCTACTCTGACACCTAACAGCCTCCATGGATTTTTCCTTTGATTGATCAATCAATTTACTTATTCTTCCAGCATACATTGAGAACAGTTAATTCATTCATTCATCCAATATTTATTGAGCCCCTATTATGTTCTAGTTACTGTTCTGGGACCTGGCTGATACAGCAAGGAACAGACAAAAATCTGCGCCCTCATGGAGCTCAGTTTTAGTAGGAGGAACAGACCCTACATAAGTAAAAATATAGCACTGTAGATGATTCTAGATGCTGGGGAGGAAAGTGAAGCATTAAAGGGGAGTAGAAAAGGAAGAAGTATATTTTAAAGATTTCATTTATTTATTTTTGGAGAGAGGGGAAAGGAAGGAGAAAGAGAAACATCAATTGGTTGCTTCTCACATGTGCCCCAACCAGGGAGCAGCCCACAACCCAGGCATGTGCCCTGAACAGGAATTGAACTGGTGACCTTTTGCTCTACAGGACAATACTCAACCAACTGAGCCACACTGGTCAGGGTAGAAGAGGTAGGTTTTAAGGAGGGTGGTGAGGAACGGCCTCAGGATGAAAGTGACATCTGAGCAAAGGCCTGTAGGGGGTGCGCCAGGCGGCTAAGTGAGAGAGGTGTGTGTGCCCGGCAGAGGAACACGGAGCGGAGCAGAGGCCCTGAGGTGGGAGTGCGCCCCGCATGTTTGAATTGGAATGGGGCTGTGGGAAAGTGGTAAAAGAAGTCAGAGAGAAAATGGGGCAGAGGATCCGGAAAGGACTTTGGCGAGATGAGGAGCCACCTACGGGGGTGAGTGGAGGAGCAGCAGGTCTGGCTGGCATTTCATTCTGGCTGCCATGTGAGCAGACTTGAAGGGAAGCAAGCAGGCAAGCGGGCTCTGGGCGAAAGTGTGAGAAGGCCTGGCTGCCTCTTCTGCCTCTGTCAGGCAGGCTGTACAGGCATGACGGGAAAATTCCCAGGGAGAGGGAAGCTTGGGGTGCAGGACATCCAGACACTAAGCTCTCAAGTACGAGGAGAGTTTATGGACAACTGGAGAGACCTCCAGGGAGCTGGGCTGCAGGGCTGTCACGGAGGTTCAAGAAAATGCCCCTTGCTGTGTTAAGCTGTGTGTGTGTGTGTGTGTGTGTGTGTGTGTGTGTGTATCTCTAGGACAGACTTCTCACACTGGGCCTCTGGGCTGGGACAGAGGGATTTCCTTATCTGCAAACCAGGCATGGTTACAATCTTTGCCCAGTGTGGTGGGTTGTGTGAGGAATAATGGAGTCTAACCTTTGAGCCCAGAGAACAAAATGAGCTGGATTATGAAAATTTCCCCCATACTTCATGAGAGGGAGGGAGGGTGGGTGGGTGTGTTTGCATGTAAATGCAAACCAGTCATTAACACCCTCATGAAGTGGGCCATTATTCTCCTAACTCAATCCAAAGGCAAAAGAACCTGGAAAGTGCATTTTCCTATCAGGAGGAGGTAAAGGGTTGGGTCCAGGCAAGCGTGTGAACTCTAAGAAGAAGTGCAGAGAGAAGGGTAACAGAGAATAATGTTAACGAGACAGGCAGAAACACCCTGTCCATCTTGCTTGAAATGTCAGCCAAGCAAGGAGACAGCATGAAACAATAAACACATGGCCCTGGATTCAAAGCTGGGTTCTGCTACTTCCTAGTTGTTCCTCTTCCAATCTAGTAACCTTTGGGTGTTTGGGTTCTTTTTTTTTTCTTCTTTAAGACGGGAGTGGGAGTGTTGCTGAGCTGCCTATCACTTAACATTCTTACAAAGCTTGAATGAGTCAACCATGGGAAAGCTGTAAACATTGTGTTATTATTATGCACAAAGACATATAAGAAAGGACTGCTCTGGATCAAGGAACAACCAAACCTAAGGAGCCAGCAGGCCCCTTCTGGGCTGGTCCATGCAGCCAGCTGCAAAAGCTGACAAACACAAAGCTCTGTGGATTGAGACAGCAAATGAGCTGATGGATCTTGAGATTGCAAGTCTCAGGGTGGTCAGCACTGGACTGAGTAAAGAGAGCACTCTGTACTGTTAAGTAGGCAAAAGGAGGGCTGCGTGACCTTTCAATGTCATTCCGGAGCGGAACTGACCAGCTGGGAATTACATAATTCTCTAGGGGCATATACCTCTGTTTTACAGTTTCCTGCCAATCAGGGTCCCGACTTTATGAACTTATATGCTAACATGTAGCTGTATGCACAAGTATGTATGTGTGTGCATGTGAATATATAAAGGGCTTTAATTGAGCAGAGAACCACAATAGTTGAGGTTTTATTGCTGTGTAAGACATTAACCAGCTTCATTTATTACCTTAGCAAACTTATTTCAGTATGTCTTTTTCAACTAAATATACAAATCTGTGTCTCTCAAATGTTCCTTTGATGAACCAGCTTTATCATTCTTCTGGTTCCCTTATTAATGAGTTAAGTAAATCTTGGACATGTGGTAAAAAAAAAACAACACTTGGACAAAACCTAAAAGTGAGTGCTCCGCCATACTTTGGCATGGGCCAGTCACTCAGGCTCTGAGCCTTGCAGATCTCATCTGCCAAAGGGAGAAGGTACCTAACTCCCAGGACTGAGGCAGCGCTGTAGTGGGAAGAGGGACATGAAAGTACTTTGCACACCATTAACAGGATGCAAAAGTCAGGATTTATTGTTGTGGCTCATCAGATTAGGCTACTCCAGGGCTAGAACATCTCAGGCTTCCGAGGGCAGCATTCTCCAAGGCTTAGACATAGGTTAGGGGAAAATGCAGCTAAGGCAGCCCTGATACTAGACTCCATGTCTGGGGGGGGTGCTGTGCTGATGCTGCATTCTCCACTTGTGAGGAGACCCAGGTTTCCCATGGGCCTCAGTTCCTAGAGGATGGAGAGCATTCAGGACCAGTCAGAGAAGACTGCCCAGGGGCATGGAAAGGTTGGAGGACTGGGGTGGGCATCTGACCAGGAACCAGGGTGAGGGTACTCTAAAAGAGGGACAAGAGTCTTCCTCAAACACCACGTTCCTAATTAGTGGCCTCTACAGCATGGGTTCTCTCAGGACCTCATCAGATTACTTTGTAGGCGGGAAAGTGCCCCAGCTCAGTTGACAGCACAATAGAATCTCTACCCTTGCTGCATGCACACACACAGAATGATACCAGTCAGGGGTTCAATAAGCAACATAGGCAGCCAAGGTCAGGGACAGCCAACCCTGTACAGAGGAGGTGGGTACAGAGCCAACAGATAGAGAAGAGGAAAGGCATTCCAAGCCCAGGGAATAGCAGGAGCAGAGGCTAGGAGGAGAGAATTAACCTGTAGAATATGGAGGAAGGATAAGTTGAGTCAAGTGACCTGTAATTAAGGAAGTTAACAGGCCACTGCCCATGGGCTGATGACAAAAAGGGAGTGGGCAAGGGGCTTACAACTGGGTCCTCCCCTGCAGGTTCATACCCTATAAGAGGGTATGGAAACCCCATTTCTCCTCACAGATCTCATTCCAGGTTCAATTCAGTTATTGTCTCTATAAGCCAGCCCAGCCTTGGCCCCGCCCCAAATGCCTCCGTCCACAGCTGCTCTGCCTTGAGGGTGGGGTTCACAGGGGCTCTTCCCATCTGCTTAAGCCTTCCCTCATCTCTCCTCTTCTGAGTCCTCCAAGCTCTCACTGTCTCCACCGTATGAACCTCCCTTTCAGCAGCTAGTTATCCTGCCTGTCTTCTTCATCGAATTAGCATACCCTCCTTCCTGGAATTACATATTTTTCCTTTCCCTATTTCCCCTTTGCCCTAATTTCTTCAGTACTTCGGTTTATATTTATATTATATTGTGGGGTTTTTTTGTTTTTGTTTTTGTTTTTTGTTTTTTCGCATATTGCCTTCAACCCTTTGTGGACCAAGACAAATATGTGTAAACCTTTTGTCATCCTGTAAATGTTCTATTAGAATTGAGTTTTTCTGGGCTAAACTGTAAGCGTTGTGAACCTCTGGCTGGCTGGCAACTACAGATTACATTAGGGCAAGCACAGTGCAGGGCACATAGTAGTTGCTTAATTCTGGCCTAGTGATTGGCAGTTTGATTAACATCACTTAACCCACTCCTATCCATGCTTAATTATCTGGCCCATTCTCACACAAGCCTAGATGATAGAAACCCACACCCCCCACCGCCTCTGCCTCTCAAGCGGTGACCCACCAGCTTTCAGCAATGCCCAAGTAATTTAAGGGCTCAGGCCCTAGCATGGTCTTCACTCCCTGAGTTTCCTGGACATGAAAACACTACCTGACAACATGAGATCTGGACATCTCAACCAGGGAGAGAGGCGTTCCCCACTGTTCCTACGGCCAGACTCATAGACTCAGCCAGGGCTCAGGGAGGACTTGGGAGGTCAACCCTTCCTAAAGCCCAGCCCAGGAGTCACAGTTCAGGCGTTGTCGAGGCGACAGGCCCCTGAGCACTGAGAGGCAGCCGCAGGAGAAAGGTCTGCAAGGAGCCGGGCCTTGGGAAGCCCGCCTTTTCCCTGAGCAGCCGCCAGCTGCTGCCCTCGATGGCATAAAGCAGTGTAAACATGCGGTTGACGGTATAGACTGTGTCGCCGCGCACCACTGCTGTGAAGAGCGCTCCCTTGCTGTTGACAAACTGGCCGGGCAGCGCCGTCCACTGGCCCGTGGCCAGGTTGAAGCAGTCGATAGCACAGTGTAGGAAGTCGTCGGATGGCCCATTGCGCACCACGTAGAGGCTGTCGCGGTGAGCCACCATGCAGTGGCCGTAGCTCTGCGGGCGCCGCAGCTCGGCCACCGGCAGCCACGCGTCAGCCCGCACCGTGTACTCCACCACAGCCGTGGTGTCGGCCGGCCGCCACAGACACACGAAGAGGCGACCACATGCCTGGGTGCAGGGCACGCCGGCAGCCGGCTGCGGCAGGTCTGCCACGAAGCTCCAGCATCCCGCGGCCGGGTCGTAGCGCTCCACGGAGCTCATGGGCATCCTCTGGAACTCGCCACCGATGGCGTAGAGGCAGCCGTCGAAGCCCGCCAGCGCCGTGTCGTAGCGCGGCTGGTGCGGGCTGGGGAACTCGCACCAGGTGCCCAGCTCGGGGTCGTAGCAGAAGCCCAGTTCCACCACCTCCTTATTGGGGCCCCGCACTCCCCCCACGATGTAGAGCTTGTTGCCCAGCGTGGCCACGCCAGCCAGCATTGTGCTGGCCTCCAAGGGCAGCATGGCCAACGTGCGCCACGCGTCCTCCTCCTCGTCCAGGTAGCACACCGTTCGCGACTGGTCCTCCAGGAAGCCAGGCGCGGGCGTGTGCGTGCTCAAGGCCACGTAGCTGCTGGGCCGCAGGGCAGCCACGTAGGCGCGGGCCTCGGGCAGCGCCAGCTCAGTCGCCAGCTCTCGCGCGCCGTCCCGGATGAAGAGCGCGGCGCTGTGGAACACATCTTGCAGGCCGAAGGCGGCGGCCGCGTCGCACAGCAACGCGCAGTTGTCGGACGTGAGGCTGTGCTCCAGGAAGCGCGCCAGCGCCGGCGCCTGCAGGAAGGCGGCGCACTCCACGGCCTGCAGCAGGTCGTCGGCGGCCTCCAGCGCCGGCCGCTCGCCGCGCAGCACCTGTAGCGTAGTGCGGAAGCCGCCCGGGCTCAGGGCGCCCAGGCGCACCTCGGCCGCGCGCGCCTCCCTCATGCCGGAACGGAAGAGGCCGCGGAAGAAGCCGCAGTGCTCCACCAACAGGGCCTGGTCGGCCTGGAAGAGCTGGCCACCCACCCACACCTGCACTGGGGTCTCCGGACCCCGAGGCATGGCCAGCAGGAGTGCGGAGGCCGCCGCTGGGGGCCTGGATTCAGCGGCCACCGACTCTGGGGCTCTCCCGTAGCAGAAAAAACTTCCCCCGGATATAAATATCTCCCTGGCTAAAGATAGTATGGCTCATGTGATGTGGTGGCTAGCGGGCTGTATGGCCCCAGGCCCAGAGGGCATCCAGAGACCTTCATGGTCACTCAGTCCCTCATGGGAAATGATAATAGCGACCATATACTGAGAACCTGCTGCCTGCTTGGCACCGTCAGAGACCCTTACAAAGATGTCCCATTTAACCTGCACTAAACCAGCGGTATGCCCTTGTGCTTGTGCAAGTTCCCTAACTCTCTGACCTTCCATTTCCTCAAAATGGGGCTAATAATAACGCCTCTTTCAGGGTACAGGTATTCCCTGCTTTTTGAAAGTTCACTTTATGCCACTTCGCTTTCTTGAAAGACCTTCATCAGCATCTGTTTTCACTAACTAAAAGAAAACCTGAAAAGTGAAAATAGCGTTCAGTGTTTCCCAGTCAGTCTTGTAGCGGCAGCACATGCACCTTAAGTAGCAGGAAGAGTGGCCCCTCCAAGCCCCTTCGCTGGGAGCTACACTCAGCATCTCAACACCAAGCCCCCGGAACTCTAAACTGTGTGAGCATCTGTGCTTCACCTCGATTTATTTTCTGCATCTGTTAGCAAGACGTATCCTGAGGTAATTGCTTCTTTACTTCAGGCCATTTCAATTAATGAAAGGTTTTGTAGGAATGCCCTACTTTCAAATAACGGGGCAAACCTGTACTGAAACAATATCTGCAAAGCGCTCGGAGAATTTAGGTGACCTGTTCAGGGTCACTCAGTTGGGAAGAAGCCAAGGCAGGATTAATACCTAGCCCACCCCATCGGCTGGTGGGGCAGGGGGAACTTGGGTACTGGAGGGAGGAAGCAGAGGTGGAGCAAAGAGAGGAAGCCAGGCTGGGATCTGGGGCAGAGTTCTCAGGTGGCCTGGGCCCTGACCGTGGGCTAGTCCAATCTCATTTTGAGCCTGGATTTCCTTCTCTGTAAGAATAGGAAGGTAGCAGGTAGTGTCCAATAAGCCCTGAAAGTGGAAGTACTTCCTGACTTGGGATGGGGATGGGAAACAGATGTCTGTCCTCCACATACCAGCACTCCATTGCTGTGTCTCTAAACCCTAGGAAAAGCAAAGTGGGGCTGCTAATTATATAGCTGTGAGTGAGAAGGAGAAGGGCTTTGTGAAATCTAATAGTTATCGCTTAAATTGTAGTGTGTCAGACACTGTTGTAAGCACTTTAATTCCTGCAACAATTCCATGAGTAAATGCTACTGTTTTCCTTTGTTTAATAGATATTGCTTATAACAATACTCTGAGTTAGATGTTATTAATGGCCCCATTTCTTAAATTAGAAGACTAAGGCACTAAGAGGTTAGGTCACAGGGCTGTCAGTGGCAGGGCTGGGACTGGTGTTTAGCCAGTCTGGCTCTAGAGCATGTGGCCTTAAACCACGGAGCCTGCTGTCTCTCTGTGCTACAAATGCTGGGCCAGGAGGTCACAGTTGGAAGGAACTTCAAGCTCATGTGGTTTGACCCCTTCATTTGTAGTGGATGATCAGAAAGAGAATTGCTCAGGGTCATTTAGCTTGGGACACAGTCCCAGGCTCTCTGCTGCCCAACCCTGGGGCACTTCTGCCGCTGCACTGAGCTTTCCTGGGTGACCGTGTAAGACTCTAGGTTCCAAAATGTCAGGTGGAAGGGAGCTTAGTGATTACCTTCTTCTGCCAACTTATTCTACAAGTGGGAAAACTGAGGCCCAGACCCGTGTAGGGCGGTATCTGCCAATCCGGAGATGTTCAATTGCAGGACTTCTTCAGGAGGATGGAGAGGGTCACAATGACAAAGCTGGAGTTGGGAGGGGGCAGGGGAACTTCTCTTCCCCCTGGACACAAGCATGCACAGGTCCTCACGTACAAATCTGTACACCCAACACAAACGTGCCTGCCCTGCCAGGAAACTCCCACCCAGTTCACTCCATCAAAGCAGGTCTGGGATGTGGGGACCACTTGTGTGTGCCTGGGAAGCCAAAGGCTTGGAGGAGGCAGCCAGAAATATCCCAGATGCTCTGCCCTAGGGACCAGACAGGAAGAGGAGGAGGGAATGGAGGGGGTGGGCAGGAGTCCCCATGAACACTATCCCAGGCCCTCTGCCAACTTCCCTCCTTCCCTGAGCCAGACATTGGCTGATGGGGAACAGTTCTGACCATCTCCCTCTTGGAGGAAAATAGGCTCTGCAGTGCCTAGTCCTAAGTGTCCTTGCTAGTGGGCTCATTGGTAGGAAGAGGGTGTCTGACTATTCCCACTTCACAGGTGAGGAAAGGGAGGCCTAGAGATGGGACGGGCTTTTCCTTGATTATGAACGAAGATGCGGGGCTGCACTGAACCCTTTCCACTGATCCCAGGTCCCAGCCCAGTTGCTTCTCCTCACCAGCACTAGCTTTGTCTCAGAGGAGAGAAACTGCTGTCTCCAGGCTCAAGCCAACAGGTGGTGTTGGGGACAGGCTGATCCCAAAGGGGCCACAGTTCCCTCCCAAATGGTCTTTTTGGGGCACTTAGTAACTGGCAGGCACAACCAGGTGAAGCCACTGCCTGGACCTCTCCTGAGAGCAGTAGGGGAAAGGAGAGCAAATCCCTCCTGGCTGAAGATTGCTCCCAGTCCCAGTTTTTCCCAAGTTCAGCCCTGGCTCGAGTAGGGTGGGACACTGGTGTACAAACCCCGCTCCCTCCCTCAGAAGCCAGGCGGTGCGGGGGAGGGGATCACAGAAGGTGGGGGTCATGGTTCGGAGGCCGGGCTGAGGACCAGGCCTTTGGCTCTGGCCCAAGGCCCCAGTGGGGTGTTGTCTGCAGCTGGTGAGCTTCCTGCCCCCAGACAGTGAACGTCCCTCTGGGACTTGGAGACTACAGAGAACTATCCTGGCTGCGGGCAGCCCACGGAGTTCCCAGGCCCTGCCCAACCCCACACCAACATCCCTCTCCACTGTGCAACCCCAATGCTGCGCAAGGTGGGCGGTGGGAGTGAGGAAAGGGGCTGTGTGTCGGCCTCTCTGAGGCTTCCTGGAGCACACAGCCAGCCTTTTTTGTCTCTGTTCACAATGACTGGTCCACAATACGGGGTCTGTTAAGTGGACTCCTGGGCCCTAAACTAAGTAGGAGTCGCTAGTCTGATAGAGGAGACATAGCCCTTGCCCTGGGAGACAACCCCACCCCCACAGGCAGATGAGGTTCCCTGGCCTTTGCCACCCCTGGTGGTATTTCTTCACACAGGGTAGTAAGGAGCTTGCCTGGACCTGAAGAAGGAAATGCACTGGACCAGGCATCAGGATTGCTGCTGGGCTCTGATGCTGGGACTACCACTGACTTGGAAAAGCTACCCAGCCTCTCTGGGCCTCAGTTCTTCATCTGCAACGTGGAACTTGGATCTGACTTCTAAGGTTCAGTTCAGCTTTGGCATGTGAGTTTATCTTTGTACAACCACAGGAGTGGTTGTCATATTGTTTCTCCAGAGAACGCAGTGACATCACGACAGGGTCGTGAAAGCTTAGGTGGAATGGCTCCTGGGGCGCGGGTGGCAAAGGTGGGACCTGGCATCCAGAAATCCTCACAGGCTCCACCTGTACACGCCCTACTCATCCACTCCAGAGACATCTACTGAGCACCTACTATGTGCCCACTGCATTTTGAGACCTCGAGGGCCTTCTACAAGAGCCTTGAAGAGGGGCCGGTGGTGGTAAGGAGGGTGGGGCTACTTGCCCTAGAAGAATAACCTCTCTCTTGACCTGAAATGTCCAAACCTCTGGTCACTAAAAAGTTTGGCTTCTTGATAGGTGGCTGTGAGGTGTGTGCTATTCATGTCCTGGGGGAGTAGAGGGAACTACCGTTTGCTTTTCTGGGTCATGGGCCAAGCTCTGGGTGGAACACTTTCATGTTATCTCATCTAATCCTTAATATTATCCCTATTTTAAAGACGAGGAACTGAAGCCCAGAAGGGCAAAGTAGCTTATTCCAGGGTCTGACAGTGGGTGATTGTTCTGAAGGCCTTTGTAGTCCACAATGGCACTTCTGGGGGCTGGACAAGCAGCCCACAGATGAGGAGCCCAAGGATGAGGAAAGGGACCAGTTGCCGTAGTGAGGTTGGCACAGTTTTCCTCCCAAGCCTCAGAGGAGGGGCCAACTTTGGGTACTTAGCAGTCACAGTTGTGGGCCCTAGTAACCAGCTGGCAACTGGTTCAAATAATCTCTGAACTGGAAGGGAATTAAGGGTGATCCATCCCATCCTGTGAGATATGATGAGTCTCCTCTACAGCACCTCCTTGAAGTGGTCACCCCTTGGTTGCCTTCAGTGGTGGGGGGCTTCAGGTGGCTAGAGCTCACCCTCCCACTGAGCTGGCACCTGCCTCTTTGCAGCTCCCATCTACTTTTGATCCGAGTTTTAAAGATAAGGAAAGTGACTCCCCCAGCCTCAAACAAGCAGGGAAGTAGCAGAACCCAGGTGTACACCTGGCCGGGGCTGTAGGGGTCCGCGGCTGGCCCTCTCTCTGGCAGTGCTCCAGTGAGGCTGGTTTCTCTTCCCACAGACCCCCTCCAGAACTGATGTGTCCCCACAGGACGGGGGCCAGCCCAGGGATGTGCCTGGAACTTAGCTCCCACTTTCTCTCCTACAACTTAAAGGAAAACCCTTGGCCATTAGCTCTGTGAGCCATTCTGCCCTGAGGGCGTAACCTAAACAAATTCCTTGCAACACCTTAGAGTCTTAATAACACAGCTGTTTTACCATGATGATCCTCCAGAAACACAATTAGGCTGAGTCAATATTCATGTCCTGTCCTGGAAAATAATTTTCCTTCTTGGTTGAGGGGTTATTACCATCAGGCTCTGACACCCTTCCCCCCTTCCCTGCCTGCTGACCTCGGTTTCTCTCGTGCACGGTGGGTACATTAGCTGGGGTGGGGCGGGGGAGGAAGGGGTTGGAGGGAGGCTGCAGTGAGAGGTCTCTGAGATTCCCGTCCCTTTTCCCACTCTAGCCCGAAGTGTATTCCAAAAGAGAGGTCCCACAGACGTCTAGAAAGTACTCACCTAGAGCCCAGGGCTGATTCTGTCACTCTCTAGTAGACCTAAGTCCCAGCATAGAATTTTAGATTTATTTTCCCCCTTTTTAGTATTGTAGACGGTGACACAAAGCCCAAAGAAATGAGGTGACTTGACCAAGATCACCCACTGAAGGAGCTGGGGCTAGATCCTAAGTGTCTGGAATCCCCCGCGGGCCCTCTCTCCAGCACAACCCGATTTACCCTGAGTCCCAAGGGGATTGACAGGTGACCCTTGCCAGGCTTGCCCACCAATCCCAGAGTCATTATAGGCAAGAGGAGGACCAGGTTTTAGAACGAATGAAACGCCCCATTTATACACTAGGCCACACACACGCAACTCATTAACTTGATCGGACAGCAAACCATAATCCAGGGTGGGTTAGATTTCTTGAAGCTGGATCCATACTGACCATGAAACATTAGTGAGGAGGTCTCATTCTCCCCCTTTAGGAGCTTGGGTTCTGCCTGGGTGCTCAGAGACGTCTGCGAGTCTCCATAAGGACAGGGTGATGTGGCCCTGAAAGTTGTGTGCCAGGGCTGAGCTGGCTGTGACCTAGAAAAAGGGTAAGGCTTGGAGTTGAACCCAGCAGGCTTCCCGGAGGAGGAGTAGGCAGCTGGGTAGAACAAAGGGAGGGACGGATTTCGTGGATGGAAGGAGAGATTGAGTGGAGGTTCAGACTAGGCTGGAAATCTCCTTCCTCATCTCGCAACCAGGGGCCTCCCTCTCTCTGGTCCTTGTCCTTCCCTACCGGGTCTGGGGGCGCTCCGGACAGTGACAGCGCCCCCCGCCCTGGAGGCCAAGCACGTCGGGCTGCTCGGGCGGTCAAGCACCCACCCCCGCGTCTTCTGCGGGGTGAATGCGCCCCGTGGGGTGCTCCCGCAGCCCTTACAAGGAGTTTGGCGGCGCTCGGGGCGGCCCCGCCCGTCGTGCTCCACCGGCCCCTCCTCCCCGGCGCTCGGGCCGCGCCGCGGGAACACAGCCCGCTCTTCGCGGGGCCCCGGGCGCAGACACCGACGGGGCTGGGCAGAGAGTGCCGGGGGAGGCGTCGGGTCGCCCGCCCCGCCGAGGGCCCCGACGGGCGTGCACGCTGATTGGGGCCCTTCGTCCAAGGACCCCCGTCCCTATTCGCAGCGTCGCCATGTCCTCGGTGTTCGGGAAACCCCGCGCGGGCAGCGGGCAGCAGAGCGCGCCCTTCGAAGTCAATTTGGCCATCCTAGGGCGCCGCGGATCGGGCAAGTCGGGTGAGTGGGGTGGATGCCAGGGAGGAAGGGGGTTTGGTGGGGCCCGGGGAGGCCACGAAGAGATATGAACGCTGCTGTGGGCTTGACGGCAGACCATCCCACTGGCTTTGAGGGCTTCCTGGGCAAGACACCGTGATTTTCTTCTTTGCCTCAGTTTCTCTGTTGCTTGGCACTCTCTCTGCTTTCTTCTCAGCTCCTCCATCTCTCATCTGTCTTCTGCCCCTTGCCTGGCTCTCCCTCTGTGTCTCAACATCAGTTACCAGCTCTCTCTCCTTTCTGTCCCTGTCTCCCAGCCCTCTGCTGGTCTCTCCCTTGTGGCCCTCTACCCCCCCTGTCACCTCACCCCGGGGCCAACAGTCAGCCCTGGTGACTGACACCGAAAGGATGTGTTAGGCACTGATCCCCATCCCAAGGGCCCTGTGAGCTTAATTAGAGCCTTGCTACTCCCTGTTTTAGGCTGGAGGTGAAGAGCCTCTGGCCCCTGAAAGGAGTTGGTGGAAGTCATTGACTATTGGGATTTTCTAGACCACACTCCCCACTCCCTTCCTCAGTTCCCTGGGATTCTGGAATACAGTGTGCATTCTTATCAAATGTACTTGTTTCGAGCTAGACCCCTCTCTTGACTTTCTGTAAACAAAGTGGACCATGGTCCCAGGTGCCTGGGACCATCCTTGACAAACCGACATATCACTTCTGTCAGCACTGAGCTCTGCCTGCACGTCTCCTGGCAGCTCTCACCCATCTGGAGCCAAGGGGGGTGGAAATGGGGGTGTCACCATAGGCAGTGACCCCAAAAAAGGGCCCAGCCCACCCCTGACACTTACTGTCCCAGGCTGCTGAAGGTGGGAGGGGAGGGGGGGAGGGGAGAGGGGGCTCTTCCACGGACCATTTTCCAGTTATAACCATTAGTGAATGGCCAGTACGGGCTCAGTTAGCTGTTGGCTCCCTTCCCCACAGGGTTCCTTAGGACGCGCTTGGGGGCTTCCTGTCCGCTTTTGGAGCCAGCCCTCTAGCTCAGACAGGGATGACTCTGAATCACGTTTTCCTACAGAAAGGATTTGCCTTCTTCCCTTTGAAAATTGTTATCCAGAGCTCTGTCACTGGTACAGTTTAGCCAGTGGCTGCATGAATGAAGAAATTTAAATTTAAAAATATGTATTCCCTGGGTATTACTTTGCAAACTGACACTGATAGGAATTCTGGGAAAGAATTTTAAAGATTTTCTTTAAAATATCACATTACTTTTTAAGAGTTCAGTATAATAGTTGGCTGGCCCTTGGCTTTCTGTGGCTAAATTCTAAACAAAATCAGGATTCTGTTAATGTATTGCACCTGGGGATAACTCCATTCTAGAGTTTTACATTCTTCGAGGGACCCTGATGAGTGTGGAGGCCCTAGAGCCAAGACTTGAGGCATGAAGGACCGAGGACTAAAGTGTGTTTACTTAGGACACATATCTTGCCTGGAAATCCCAGGCCCTCAAGGGGTCATTCTGCCCCCAGGGATCATCCACTGATCAACTTGGCTCTTACTCTCTCTCTTTGGCTTGTAGCCAAAACTGGAATTACTGCCCCACGTTTCAGAATCTTTGTGACTTGTCTAGAGTGGAGGATATATCCCTTCAGTTGGGCCGACCTTGAGGTAACTGGTTGCACGGGCCTTGACCTCTAGCTCAGATCTTCACAAGATACCTTAAGCTCGTCTCTCATTGCTTGTGTTGCCATAAATAAATAAATAAATAAATAAATCCCAGGATACAACTGAAGGGACACAGTTCCCCACATTTCCAGTTTCTTTTGAGCCACTCACACCAACTCCTCAGCTCCCAGCCTCATTCCCCAGAGCCTTGAGCTTGGTGCCAGCTAGGGGTCACAGAGTTTAGATAAGGACTTTCTAAAATGAAAGGGGCAGGCTCCGGGGGCCTGCTGCCAGACACAGCAGGGGAGACTGAGCCAATTTCTCTGTGCTTCTTACAGCCCTGACCGTGAAGTTTCTCACCAGAAGGTTTATCAGTGAATATGATCCCAACTTGGGTAAGAAATCACCCCCCACTCCATTCCTCCTACTGTGCCCCACTTAGATCCACCCGCCCTCCCCCACCCTCATAACAGACACCTACCCTGTTGTGGGCCCAGGTCTGACCAGGACCAAACATCTGGAGGCAGAAGGGAGGAGCCACGTTACAACTTGGGGGTTGGCCAAATTCAGAGAGCTATGTGATTTGCCCTAAAATGTGAGGTATGATGAGGCTTTTTAAAAAATTAAACATAGCAGAACATCTTATATCCATTAAGTGTTGTTTTTCAAGATGGTCACTCAATGGACTTTTCCAGTAAAGCTGCACAAGACATTGAGAAATTCTGTAGTGGAACTGGCTTCTGAACCAGTTTTTAAACCACACAAGAAAACTAGTCTTGTTTTATTGACATGTCATGGTACACTGGCAAAAGGGATGCTCTGGTGTCAGTCAGAGCTGAGTTTGGATCCTAACTCTGTCACACATTGGCTGTGCAACTTTGAGGCAGTCACCTAACCTCTCTGAGATGCTGTTTCCTCATCTGTAAAATGAGCATAAAAAAACACCTACCTCAGAGAACTACTGCGAGAATTAGAGATAACACATATCAAAGAGCTAGCTTTGTCCTTGATCCACAGTAGACATTCAATGTGTATTCACTTCTCCTTCCTCTTCAAGTGGCTTCCCATCTACGGTGGTTGAGATTCCCACAAATTAATCAGATCAATGTTTCTGAAAATTATTTTTCGCAGCAGGAACTTTTCCTCAAATAACTTCTCACATGGAATCCCAATATCTAAAATAAATAAGTGCAGAATGTTATTAGTATACATGTAACCTAAAACTCACATTTATAACATTTGTTATTATAAACTGTGCACTGAGAAAAATGAGTTGTCTGGATCTCTTAGCCTTTTGAAAATGAAGGTTGCAGTCTTGGATTATTTTCCCCACTCATAAGAATTGAATAAAGCATTTGTGGTATCCCCGAGGACCCCCTGAGGAAACCTAGAGCTTCGGAGCTCAGGTTGGAAAGCGGCCCGATGCAGCACTTCCTGCCGCAGGTGTCCGATGGAACGCCGCTGTGTCACCCGAAGGAAAGAATTCCCTAGCCCATTGGGGCCCATCAGCCCCTTAGTTCAGGCTGGAATGTTGAACCCCAGTGTCTGAGAAGGAAAGGACCTCAGGGCTATTTAAACCAATGGTTTTTAGAATGTTTTCCTTGAGTAGCAGAATCCCTTCTTCTGACCAGGAAGTTCACTCATGAATGTGACCCCTAATTGGTAAGGAACCACATGGGTAAGGACATCTCAACCAAAACCCCAGGGTGTTGATCAGAGGAATCGGAAGGGCTCCCCTGGTTAAGTCGAGAATGCAAGGCAAGTGACTTGCCAACAGCCGCTTGGGAGTTTGTTCCTCAAAGCGTGGTCTGACCGCCAGAGCTCTGGTACAAACCTGCCATGCTACCGTGAAGGAAGTAGGCCCCAGGAGCTGAGGCGTCTGCGCCAAGGTCGCGCAGCAGACCTGAGGAGAGCTCATTTGATGAGCAGAGGTCAATGCCAAGGGAGTGGGACACAGGGTGTGATTGTGTGCAGGCTGAAGGAGCTGTGAGGAGAAGCCAAAACATGAAGTCAGATGGAGTCGGGGGGCTGAAGAGGGGAGGGGAGGGAAGGAAAGGCACACAGGCAGGAGTGTCTGGGATTGGAGAACAGGGAGTCTCAAGGATGGTACCTCAAAAGACAGGTTCTGCCTAGCTCAAGTACTGCGTACGTGTACTAAAACGTATTTGCTGTCTATCTGAAATTCAAATTTAACTGGGCATCCTGTGTTTTATTTGGCAACCTGCCTCCAGTCTGCCTTCCTCCCTGCCCGCTAGTCCACGCCCTTCGTGCAGGGTCCCACCAGAGGAGCCTATCGCGGTGGTTTGAGCTTCCCGATTGAGTCATCCTGGAGCTCTGACCTGGTAGTGGAATGCGTGGTCAGACCGTCTGGGGGGCAGTGGCCTCGCAATGGTTAGTCATCCTACCCTGAGCAACTGTGAGCTGGAGAGATGACCAGATGCTCTCCCCTCAGCCCTTCTGGGAGGCCAGTGCCCCTCCTGGGGGTACTGCTTCACTGTTGGAGCATTTCGGCCGCTGTCCTGTGGCTGGCTCCAGCGACAGCACGGACTCTGGGACCAGAGCCTTTCTTTCTATGAAGGAAGGTCTGAGCACCCAAGGGCAGGGTTAGCTCTCCAGAGACGGAGAACCACTCTTTCCCCTTTTTCAAAGGTCCCCCGAGAGCTTGAGCTCACATGGAGCCTCCTGAGGATGGGAACCTGTATGATTTGTTTCCATGTCCATCGTGGAGCATAGTACTACTAAGCACAACATAGGTACTCATGAACATGAAATTGAATTTTGATTTTAGGATTGTCCTTTAAAGAGCAGCTTCTATTATTATCCCTACTTTACATATAAAGAAACTGAGGCAGTGGTTTGCCTAACATCACGGAAGGCCTCAGGTACAAAGGAAGATGAGACACCGAACCCATTCACCAAACCCTGAACTCTCCACTCAGGGCAGCCTTGTGCTGCAGGGCGCCTGCTGTCAGAGGCCTGCACGGCCTGGGCTCCCTGAGCCCTGGTTTTCCCACCTGGAAGATATGACTAATAGACTGTGCTCTGTCTGGGTAAAAGTGGCGCCTCTTTATGGGTTGTGGCTGATAGAGCTGGTAGGAGCCAAGAGATTCAGTGCCTGTGAAAGGGCTTTGCCTGTGCTCAGCGCTACCGGACGGGCGGGGGTCTCCAGGAGAACATCCTCTTGCAGGGGGCTGCGGGCAGCTCACCTGGCTTGCTCAGGCAGAACGATGGCTTCTCTCTTGCCGTCGTCCTGCTCCAGCAGGCACACAGGCATTGTTTCTGAGGTATCATCTTACATACACTCTGACCTGAGCGACTTTGGTGCCTTTTAAAACATTTTTACTGTAAATGAGAGAAAAATGTTTTGAGAAAAGAATCTTCTCCCAACATTAAAGTCCACAGAATGTTATTTAGAACTAGGAATTTTGAGGCCCGCATATTTAAAGACACCAGAATGTCTTCAGGGCAGGGACTAGTAATGGGAAGAAGGGACATTATCATGGCTTGGAAAGGAACCCCAACCCCTCAGAGTCACCTTGCTTGTAAAGGGAGAGGGAGCTGGAGAAGGTGGCCTTGGAGCTTCTTCCAGCTGACGCATACATGTTCCACATCCTCAGCTGGGCGGGGAGCTTCTGCGCTTCCCTGTGCTCTGCCCAGACAGCTGGAAGATTGACTGGCCCACTGAGCAGAGGGAGTGAGGAGGTCCCAATGGAGAGGCAGCCCAGCCTAGAAGGCCTGAGTTCAAGTTCCTTCATGGACAGATGTTGTGTGGCTGTGGCCGAGTTCCCTCTTTCTCTGGGCCTCGCCTTTCTGTCATCTCTATAGTGGAGCTAACAACAGCAATCTCGAAAGGCTGTTGTTCTATAAGAAACTGCAGGAGACCAGGACCAGGGCTGGGCTAATATTTTTCCTTGGACTGGGCAGGACATGGTGCCTGTTTGCGGACAGAAGCTGTGAAGTACCAAAGAGGGGTGCATCAGAAAACTTGGGCAGGAAAATCTGAACGAGATGTAGGCATCTCGGGGCAGCTCTTCTTGCACCAAATATAGTTAAACATTTGGGGCATATTTTCCATTAGATTTTTTTTTTTTTTTTTTTTTTTGTCTTTGAATAAGAGCGGCACTTATCCAAGTCCCCAAAGCAGGCTGGGGACGGGAGCTGTCTATGATTCCTGCTGGCTGCTCAAGGACCTGGCATGTGTCCAGGCCTGGCTTGGCTGCCCGTGACCCTCGGAGAGAACTGTCTGACTCAGCCAGGGTCGGGGGGTTCTCTTCTCACAGAGGCTGCTGCCAGGAAGACAGAGAGGGCCTCAGTTCTGCCTAAAGGGGTCTTCTTTGGGGTCACATCAGGCATGGGAGCACCTAGGGAAAGGTAAGGACTCACAGAGGTAGGCCAGTAACCCAGGGGAAGGTTGGGGGTAGCGACAGTGATTGTCAATGTGGCAGCAAGGTCTTCTGTGCATGCCTGGCCACTTGCTGCTTTTCCAGGTGTGAGGTCATGAGAACTGAAAAAAGTAAAAACTCATGAAATCCAAATCGGATCAGCAGTTTAGTTTATAGTATGGCACCAATGTCCATTTCCTGGTTTTGACCATTGTGCTATGGTTACGTAAGGCGTTAACTTTGGGAGGGTGGGGCTTGATGCTTGTGCACACGTGGAAACAGGTACATGCACATGTTTACACAGAGACTTTCCTTGGCCCAGCTCGGGGGATGGTACAGGAACTCTCTGTATTGAATACTGTTGTATAACTCCTCTAATATGTGAGTCTAGGATTATTTCAAAATAAAAGGTGAAAAAAATCACCTGGGAATGTGAACGTGCCCAACCAGTCCTCACACAGCCCTGTGAGGAGGTGTGGGGACAGGCATTCAGCGCGGTGCCTGGCACAGAGTAAAAGCTTGAAAACCGTTAGCCAATGTTGTCCTCTTATCCCCATTTTAAAATGAGGGAACAGCTCTCTTCAAAGAGCTGAAGTGACTTCACCAAGTCACCCAACTAAAAAGTAGCTGAAGTAGAGTTTGATTCCACATCTCCACCTTAAAACTTTCAACTACCAGATTCCTCTGCTATTATTTTGACAAGGGTTATTTGTAAAACCTTCTTAGGACTTCTAAACAGGGTTCCCTCACTCGGGGCAGGAGGACTGACCTTGGAGGCTGCCTGTGGGCCGGGCACTGCAGTCGAAGGGGAGGAGGGTGCCGAAGCTTGGCGTTCAGGAGGAAGGGACTGGCAGTGCGGTTTCTTTGGCCTCTGCTGCTACCGGGCCCATGCCACGCCCACCACCCTGCAGGCTTGCTGGGCGGGGGCAGAACACAGCCGAGTCCGCCGTGGAATGTTCTGTGAGTGGCCTCTGTTGCTTAGAGCCCTGACAGGCGGAGCAGTATTTCCTTGGTGGGAGGTTCCACTCATGTCCTCCACGTGGGTGAGAGCCAAGGCTTTGCAGTGGTTCCAGCTCAGCCAACCCTGGGTTAGGTCCCCCAAAACTGCACAGGGGGAAGCTGGACTCAGACCCAGTCCATCAGCAGTTGGGGGGCCTGCTCCGTCTGTAACCTGGCTGACTGTCTGTGTTGCAGAGGACACCTACAGCTCGGAGGAGACTGTGGACCACCAGCCTGTCCACCTGAGGGTCATGGACACTGCAGACTTGGTAACGTTACCCCCATGACCGCTGGGAGTCAGGGCAGCCTCCTGAAAAGTCCTGGCCCTGCAGTGGGGGCCTCAGATGGGAATATGTATCTCTCTTAAGCGCTGGTTTGCTGTGTGACCCTCCCTGGGCCTGAATCTCTTCATTTGCCAAATGAGAAGGGCTGGGCCGGGGACTGGGGTGACCGGGCGATGGGGGCGCCGGCTCTGCGCTCCTGTGCTCTGGGGCTGGGTGCGTGTGCACATGTGGAGACAGGTGCGCACGTTGGGCTTTGTACAGCCCAAGTTCCCCCCGGTACACACATCTCCCCTGTGTTCTCACCACCCCTGCCAAGGCCGGATGCCAGTTATTCTCAGAAGCCAAAAGGGCACTGTGAACCTGACCCAAACCAGCGGTGCCCAGAGACAGCCAGGTCTCTGTAGGGGCCATGCAAGACTGTTGGCTCTGTACCCCAGGGGTCAAGGTCTCCAAGTCTCTGGCTGGCTGACGGGAGGGAGGCTCACGAGACAATGTCTTCTTTCACACCAAGCCAAATCCACACTCAAGTGCCCCTTTGACAAGGGCTCTGCTGGGGAACAATATACAAAGACCCAGCGAGTGGGGAGGTGGGATGGGGTAGCTCAGGTGAAGGCCTTTACCCTGACCTCCTCTGTCCCTGACCAGGGCTTCCCTCCTTTGCCCCAGGACACCCCCAGGAACTGTGAGCGCTATTTGAACTGGGCCCATGCCTTCCTGGTGGTATACAGCGTTGACAGCCGCCAGAGCTTCGAGGGCAGCAGCAACTACCTGGAGCTGCTCGCTTTGCATGCGAAGGAGACGCAGCGCAGCTACCCAATTCTGCTGCTGGGCAACAAGCTGGACATGGCCCAGTACAGGTGAGCACGGTGGTTTGTCCGGCAGCTCCAGAGCTCCCTTTCCTCATTTGTGAAGTCTGAGTGCCATCTACAGGGATTATTTGGCTGCTAAGAACAGCAGTCTCCTTGAATTTAGGTAAAAAGAGGTGTGTTGCAAGGGTGTGGTCTTCTAGGTAGCCGTGGGCAGGAAGGGAAGGCCATCTGGACAGCACAGGAGCTGGACCCTGAAAGTCAGAAGAGAGGCCACTCCTTCCGTCCTCCTGGGGCTCTGTGGTCTCTCTCGGCCTCACCCTTTCCTGCCTGGGTCTGCATGACCTTCTGTTCCTACTCAGTGCAGCTGGCTGGTCTGTCTGTGCCCAATTCTAAATCTAGGGAGAGAGGCTCTGATTGGTTTCTTGGGTCAGATGTCTGTGCTGGTCCAACCAGCTCTCACCTCGCCCAGGCGTGGCCCTCAGGCTCACGTTCAAGGCTGGCTGTGCTGAGGACACCTTCTCTTAAAAAGGGTTGGACTTGAATCAGAGGTCACAGACTGGGCCAGAGGGCAGATTTCCATCAAATGCTGCAGCCATATTTTCCTTGGCCAGCACTGTATTTTAGAAGACCTGGAATTGGAATGCTTTGAGGTGGGGCAATCTCTTTCTAGCCGACCACAGGCCTCACCCCTCCCCGCGGCTCACCTCCACCCTCTCCACACATTCAGATTGCCTGCCGGCCCTGCGGTATCCAAGGCTATGATGCCTCCACTGTAACCCCACTGGCCTTCTTCTCCATGACTGACATTTGTCCTCTGTTGCCAGTCTTCCTGCGACATTTGCCACCTTCCACCAGCCTTCCACCGGTCCCTCCCTGCTCATGGCCGGTCACTCCTGCTTTCCCAGGCCCCAAAGGAGCATTGACTAGTGGCGGCAAGGAGGGGACCCTTTCTTTAACACAGGTCAGGTGGCCTGTGGGAAAAGCGGGTTGCAGTCCCATGAAGGGGGATCGTGGTAGGGGCTCTCAAAGGCGGGCAAGCTCTCAGACCCAGACATATTCCAGCTCAGGGAATTGGGGAAACTGTGTAATCTGAAAGCCAAAGGAATCGCAGGGCCACAGAGCCTAGAAGAGGGGTCAGAAGACTGGATTGAGATAAACCAGTTTTCATTATGAGAAAACTAGACCACTGTTTTGATACCAATCTTTGCCAAACAGATTGTCTAAAAATGGTTTGGGAGTAAATAATAAAGAAAATGGGCTCAAGAGAAGCAGCATCAGGGTTCCCTACGAACAAATCAATTAATCCCCATTGCCTTCTTTGATCACGTCCCTAGCTCGGGCGATCTGGATTTGATGGACATGGGAAATCTAACTTGGAGCTGAGCGTTGATCGGTGTCTCCCATGATTGTCTGGCAGCTAAAGAGTAAAATGTAGTTTAGGGCAGCGGTTCCCAAACCACGTATAAAATTTTCACCAGGTTGCCACAAAATAAGAAAAAAGATAATGCTGCATGCCTGTGTCACCCATTCACACACACGTATGCACGCAGGCATGGGGTTCTTCTTCCTGAAAGTTCGTGATTCAAGCCCCACAATGACAAAGTTTCAGATTCAAGTTAACATAAAAAGTAAATAACACTAAATATCCTTTCAAAGGGGCTTCCTCAGGGAGCAGTGAGCTTATAGACAGAACACCAGCCCTGGGTGGGGAGGGGATCAGGTGCTCGGCCCCTGACCCTTTTTGTCCCAGTCATGCTGTCTGTCTGGTGCCCCCCTGGTCCGCGAGCCCAGTCCCAGCCCTCTGCTCCTACCCAGGGAACCTTGGCTCAGAAACCTTTGCCACCAGTACCCACCCTCGTGTCTCCTCTCATCTCATGGCTGTAGCGTTGTCCTCAGGAGTGGGGGTGGGGGCCGCTCAGTAGTGGGGAGTGGTCAGGAGGATTCAGCCATTGAATCTTGGCCTCCATACTTAAGGGAACCCCTGTCCCTTCCCCTTTCTGGACATCTGACCTCACCGAGAACCAGTCTTCTTTTTCTTTTCACCTCAATTCCCATGGCTTCCAGGTCAGATGCTTTCGGGACCTTCCCAGCTGCAAATATTTGATCCCCCATCCCGGGAGGTGCCTAGGACCAGGTTGGGAATAAGTGCTGCTCCCTCCCTTCTTTCCCCCTACACCCAATGAAATGCTACCCTTTCTTTCCTGCCCTCCCCTGGGCAGGCAGACAAAACTCACCAGGAACCCTGAGAGCTTCGCCAATCGCAGGCATCCTGAGCGACCTTGGCCTTCCAGTGTAGGCCTCACACCCTTCAATCAAAACCACTGCTTTTGTCTAGAGCTGATCCCACAAGCAAGGGCTGAGAGTGGCTCATTTCCTGACCAAGGACCCCATGTGGGGACAGAGGAGAAATGGGGCTGAAATGGCTGTCTTCCTCTGGCCACAGGCAAGGTCTAGGGAGGGCCTTTGGGCCAGCCTCTCCCTTACTTTCAACCTTGTTCCTAAATTCTGGCTTTGGTGACATCAGCCACCATTGATTGAGCACTGACTCTGCCAGTTACCAGGCTAGACCGCTGTTCAACACAAATTATCTTTTTTAGTCTTCTTAACCCTGAGGCAGATGTCATTATCCCATTTCACTGATGAGAAAGGTAAGCCTCGTAGAGATGAAGGTGACCTAAGTCACCAAGCCAGTAAGCAGGAGCCTGGGGTAGGCCCAGGCCTGCCTGACTTGCATGCCTGCTTCTGACCCCACCTCGCCCTGCCTCCCCACCAGGCAGGTCACCGAGGCAGAGGGCGCAGCCTTGGCCGGCAGGTTCGGGTGCCTGTTTTTCGAGGTCTCTGCCTGCCTAGACTTTGAGCATGTGCAGCACGTCTTCCATGAGGCAGTGCGGGAGGCACGGCGGGAGCTGGAGAAGAACTCCCTGGCGCGGCCCCTGTTCATTTCCGAGGAGAGGGCCCTGCCCCACCAGGCGCCGCTCACTGCCCGTCACGGGCTGGCCAGCTGCACCTTCAACACGCTTTCCACAGTCAGCCTGAAGGAGATGCCTGCCGTAGCCCAGGCCAAGCTGGTCACCGTGAAGTCATCCCGGGCCCAGAGCAAGCGCAAGGCACCCACCCTGACGCTACTGAAGGGCTTCAAGATCTTCTGAGGAGCCCCCTGAGGATCCTAGGCTCAAAGGCTGGACAGGGATGCAGGACGGTGGCTGATTTCTGGCCACCGGCTTTCCCTCTGATGGAACAATGGCCCCCGCCCTCTGGTGGACAGCCGACCCCTGCTCCAGCACCAAGCAGTGTCCTTGACACCTACTTCAACATCTGAGCTGGAGGGAATGCTGCTTATGTTCCCTTCAGGGCCTTGGTTTCCATGGTAACCACCGCATTCCCTGCCGTTGAGGGGAAACAGTCGCTGGGACCACCCAGACATCTGGGGTCAGCCTTGAGCAGGAGGAAGTTGCAGTGCCCATTGTGGCAGCAGCGCCCCTTCCTGCTCCAGCTCCAGCCAAGCCAGATGTGGCCCCTCACGGGCACTCCATGTGGACGGCTCCAGGAGGCCCTGCATAGGTGCAGGCCGGAGAACACCCTGCAGGGAGGACAGCCCTGAGGTCCTCTAGCCCCCTGGTGGACAGGAAGGGCAGGGTGGGCACAGGTTTTGGAGGCCTGGACCCTGGCCCTCCCGTTGTCTTCTGACCTCAAAGAAGCTCCAGGCATCAAACCTCACAGTTTATCCAATTATTAACTAGTTTAAACCTACGGGACACCCTATAAGAAGTAAAGTTGCAGGAAGGGCTGTTTCTAGTACTTTGCCTCTCAAAGAAGGTAGGGGGAGAGGCTGTGGGTTGTCCAGTGTAGGGGGCCTCTATATTGGTCACCAGAAGGCAAGGCCCCTTTATTTTCCCACCTTGAATTAAGGACTCCATCCACAGTCAGGACCAGCCTTCTCAGTGCGATGACCAAAGCTGCAGAACAGAGTCGCTCTCTCTAGTGAGAACGACTCAGGACTCCGGGGAGCCTACAGCTGGCAGTGTCAGACATCCAGGCACTATGACCCTGTCCTGGGGCCATAGGCAGAAACAGTAGACCATTCTGTGGCCTGGTTTGGCAGGACCCAGGACCTTTGGTAATGGGTCTGAGTGTTCAAAGTATTCTTTTGTAAGATAGCACTAAAGCATTTTTGGTTTCTAAAGACAATGTTTGCATAAATTATTTGGGGTTGCCCCCACAGCTTATACCACAGCACCGTGGCTCAGACACAGATCAGGACCCTCCCTTGGGATCCCATGGTTAGCAAGGTAAGGGTCTCATAAGTTTCTAACTCTGGGTACCATGGGACCCCTGGCCTGAAGGAAGCCTTTCGCGGGCCTCAGCAGATAAGCAGATAAAGGAGACGGCTCTGGTGGGCCGAAGGGGCCAGGAGGGGATTCTGAGCCCAGAATCCTGCTCCTTCCCCTGGCAGCAGTCCCAGCGCTTGGATTGAGAACAACAGCTCTAACCCAGCCTTCAGCCCCACTTTATGGAGATGGAGAAGCTGAGGTCAGAGCGGGGCTGTGAAGTCCTCAAGGCCATACGAGGAGTCCCGGCCAGGCTTCCCCGCCCACAGGCTGACTATGGATTTTACACTTTTGCTAGAAGCCGCGTGTGTGTGGACCACCGCCGTTTGAACAAACTGCAGTTCCAACTGCCCATATCCAGAAGCTTTTTAATAAAAAGGTGTTGTGGTTTTTTTCATAACAGAATCTTAGTTGGATGTCAGTTCTTTCATTTTATCTGCTGACAACATGCGAGCACTGCTCCGCACACCCATTAGCTCTTGGATGCTTGTGGGTCTGGAAGGAAGAGTGGTGGCACCTTTCTCTCTCTCTCCTTTTTTTTTTTTTTCCTTCACTCTATTAACTCAATTTCCACCTGGGCTGAATCCGGCTTCTCTGAGAGCAAAGTCTCTCTTACGATGTTCGGACCGTTTTCATCTTTGATTCTGATCTCAGCCAAGACCTCCAGAGTTTGTTTTTCCCGTGGCTGCATCTTTTGTTTTCTGGGAGGAAAGGAAACACTGTTGAACGTGAGTCCCCAGAGCTGGGGGTATTGAATGGCTGGGGCAGGCTGGGGTTTCCCAGGTGCATTAGAGAGTTCGAGGGCAAATTGAGTAGGCAGTTCTGGGAACTCTTGGGGGAGAAAGCTGAGATGGTTTGATGTTCTTTCTGCAGAGAAACAGCTTATACTTACCTGTGCCTCTCTCACCAAATCCTTGCTGTCACCGGTGAGTTCAACTATCAATATTATTGCTCCTCCTTACCGAGGAAATGTGCCTCAAAGAAGCACATACCTGGTATACGCATTTAAGTCTCCTGACTCTGGGTCCTGTGTTTTCACCAAATCACATTGTCTTCTATCCCAGGACTGCCATCCTGCGTTGTGCAGGTCCTTGTCACCCCATACCGCATCCCCAGACAAACTGCAGGACATGCCTAACTCACCTTCCCGTCTCTGAGCACTTACCCCTCCAAACCAGCCTAAACAACATCAGTCACGTTTCCAAAGCCCCAGAGTGCGCACACCACTCCCCAGCTCAGGCACCTTCAGTGGGCTCCCCACGGCCCACGGCCTTAATCTGGCGTTCAAGATCCAGCCTTCCTGCCAATAGCTCCCTGAAATGTTCTCCCTTTGAGGTGGTTTTACTGAAGGTACGCTTCCTGGCCATAACGGAGGGGCCCAGCTGTGGTTAGAGCTGACTGCCCAGAGATTCTGCTTGGGCCGTAGCGGGAGTGGCTCGGTGTCTGCCGCTCCCTTAGACAAACACCTTGTCTCTGAGCTGACCTTGCTGAGGGGGATGCTTCCTGACAGGGTGAGAGAGGCAAGGTCATCTTAGAAGCTACACCCCACCCCCTGCCACCCTGGTCCCATCTGTAACCTGCATACAGAATGGTCTTGCTAAAACATAAACCTTTCATGTCCCTGTGCAAAGCCCTTCTTGTGAGCTGGAACGTGAACGCCTTAGGATGCCCCTCAGAGCGCACACATTCTAAGTCCTGCCGCCTCTTGTCCTCCCTCCCCCAGCCCTCCTCAAGCCCCTGCTACAGCCACACATGCCCTCCCTCCCACCTCGAGCTCGGTGCGCGCTATTCCTCGGTCTGGAGGGCTTCTGCAGCCCACCCTCCCTCTGTTGGCTCCGAAAGCCCCAGGTCCCAGCTCTGTGGTCCCACAATACTCTATGTACCAGTCACCATCTGTCACTTTGAACTGCAATCATCTCCTCACGAAACCATAAATTCCGTAAGGCCAAGGCTGAATCTATCTGAGCCCGTGTTGTGGCCCCCACTCTCAGCACAGAGCTTGGCACAGAGCAAGTGCTCAGCGCGTATCTGTGGAATGGGTGAGGAATGGGGCCGGGACAGTTCATAATGACTGGTTCTCAGCGTGAACTACATGGGGTTATTTCTTTTTGACTTTATAGCAAAACTGTGAGGAAGATTCATAGATGATACAAACCAGGGCATAGAAGGAAGTGCATGGAGGATAGGCCAACCCTTCCCTGGATCCTTAATGACCTTATTCTGTAGAGCAGGAATAAATAGCTTGTGCCTGCCCCATCTTAGAGAGCTGTCTTGAGGATCAAATAAGAGAATGTGAAGGTGCTTTTAAAATTACAAAGCAGGATACAGATTTGAGGGAGAGATTCTTATTATTGTTTCAAAGGTACTGATGGTGATGATTGATGGGCATATAGCAACTGTTGAAGTAGTTAATTAATCAATGGGGATGAGTGACCTAAGCGTATATTGAGTGAATTCTAGGACTACACTTGGTGTCAGTTGTTCAGGGAAGCAAAGTTGAGTCAAATGTGGTCCCTGCCCTCAAGGGTCTCTCGAACCTTAGCCCTGGAATCACCCAGGGAGTTTAACCAAGTGCCACTGCCGAGGTCTCACCCTTTGTGTCAGAATCTCCAAGGTGAGGACAGCATTCTGTATTTTCGATATTTCTCCTCAGGAGATGATCTTGTGCACCCAGGGTTAAGGAGCGTTATCATTATAAAGATATTAAAATTACCCCAGGAACCTCAACTGATCTCAGGTCTGTATCTGAGCCCTACATTTGGCCTTGGAGCAGGGCAAGACTTTTTCCTTTAACAGCATCCCTAACTCCGCAATGGCCCCCACTGAGCACAAGGTAATAACAACAAGGAATTGGTTATTACCACCACTTATAGGAGGAACTGGTTCAGAGGTATTGAGTGTATTGCCCTGCTAGTGAGCAACAGAGATGGGATTTGAACCCAGGCCTATGTAACTTCAGGGCCGGAGATCCCGACCTCTGAGACATACCACCCCCCACCCTGCCGACAGGCCAGGGCCAGCTGGTGGTAACTGAGGACAGTTGTTAGTTTTCCAACAATTCTGGGTTTTCAAAGGACCCTGAAGGCTGCATTTTGTTGTCCCAAAGAGTGGTTAGCCAAGACCCATAGGGACCCCTCCTCAGGTTTCCTTTGGGAGGGCAGGGCCCCAGCTTCCAGAGGCCACCCCCAGACCAGCTCCTCACCTCTTTGCCTTGATGTTCCTTACCAGGAGGACGATGCTTATCACGACCACCACACCCGCCAGGGCAAAGACAGAAATATTCCAAGGAGTTGCTGGGGAGGGACACACAGGACAGAGAATGAGGAGAGGCGGGGTGCCCCCCAGGCCCACCAACAATTGGGATTTGGGCTCAGCAGAGCTCACTGCATCAACTGTCCCCTGCTGTGGACCAAGTGTTGCAGAGGGACTCTAATTAAGGCGAAGATGAGCTCCCTGCTCTGTGGGAACTCTGGTGTGTGTGCGGGTGGGGGTGGGGAGAGAAAATCCCTGTCTTGGAGCAGCTTTAATCTAACAGGAGACGGCACTGCAATTGGATGATAGTGGGGTGGGGTGGGTTGTGATAAACTTCACAGTCTTCAGGGTTTTGCAGTGCAAAGGAAGGAAGGAAAAGAAGGATGGAATGAGGGAGGGAGGGATGGAGGGAGAAAGGGAGGGAAGGAAGGAATGAGGAAGGGAGGAAGGAAAGCGTGGCAGTTAACATGGATTCAAAAACTGCCCACCGATATGACACATAAAGTGGCTAATCTGAATTTGGATAATTGAGACTTGTCCATACTGTTCTAAAATGAGGGAGGATCTAGCCTCAGAGCTCCTGAACTTGCTGCTCCCTTTACCAGGAATGTTCTTCCCCCACATAACCTGCATAGCTAAATCCTTCACCTGCCGCAGGCCTTTGTTCAAATGCCCCCTCCTTAGTAAGGCTGCGTGACCACGTTACCTACCCTTGCAACTTTCTTCCGATCCCCTTTCTCTGCTGAATTATTCTCCTTAGTTTTTCTTTTAGTCCTGGAATCATCCAGAGTTTGACAAAATGCCACTGCCCAACTCATCACCAACACACTATGCATTTTTGTTGTTTATCCCATTCATTTTCTTTCTCTTTCACTAAAATGAATGCTTCATGACAGGAGAGGTTTGCGTGTTTCATTCACTGCTGTAACCCCAGTGCTGAAAACAGCGCCTGGTGCACAGAAGGAACTTAAATGTTTGTGCATGATTGGGTGGGTGAGTAAATGAATGACCAAGCCCGGAAAGAAGGAGGCTGAGGGGCAGCCACACCCTTCTGGGCACTGAGACCCCTCAGCCTCCGTCCCTTCTCTGAAGGAAATGTGCAGCCTGCTGTGAAGGAGCGGACCCTGCCAAGGGCCTCGGCCAGAGTCACTGTCTGTGTTTTGTGTTGAGAGCACACACCCCACACACCAATCCCCCGCCACTTACCATCTTCCGCCCGAAAAAACCAAAGCATTTCTTCCAGCAGATTCTGAGGCACCACAGTACTATCTGGGGCTGGGGTACCTCCCTCACCGAAATTCATGCCTTGCTCCTGGTTGGGGTACATATCTGGCAACGAAGTCCTTAGGCCCCTTCGTCCCCTCGGCTGCCCTCTTGGCCTCCTAGGTTCTGGCCCCTGAGCAGAGCCTGACAGACCCCTGGAAACAAAGCAGAGAGCATGATCAGATAGCCCACCCTGGTTTGAGCTCCCCTCTCTGCCCAAACCCAAGTCTCCTCTGGCCCAAAGTTACAGGATCAGAACGGCCTGGCTCCATGGCAGGTGGGACCTGGAGGGCCAGAGACCACAGACTTGGAAGTACCTCAAATCTTTATGAAAGCCCATCATGTGTGGGGAAGTACACTGACCCGGGAGCGAGGAGGACTAAACCACTGCTGGGCTGTGGGACCCTCACTGGGGACATCTCCCGCTTTTGCCTGCCCCGCATCCCCACCCAGCGTCTGCAGCCCACAGCTCCCCTTCACCCTGGTTTCTTAGCAAATTGTCCCATCCCTTGCCATTGATTTTTATGTAGTAGCCAATCACAGGGCCCGCGTGACAAAGGTTGTGCCTATCACAGTCTCATCTGGAGATTCGCATGCCTGTGACCCAGAGCTGAGAATGAGAGACGGTGACAGGAAAGGGTAGCCGTCAGCTGCTGCTGCTGGGCACTGAGTGCTCCCTCTCCCCAGCTGCCATCCCTCGGCCTGATTGTCAGTGCCGCTCTCCGGTCAGAGACCCCAATGACTTCTTTTTTTGGACATGTTAATCAGAATTGTTGTCATCGTTTGCAGTGGAAGACCCTGAAACCATGCTTCCTGGTTAAATCCCTTCATTAATTTCAGCCTGTTTCCATCCCCACAAAACAAAGCAGGTTAAGCAATCTGTGTTTACTAAACCTCATTCCGGTGTTGAATCCTAGTAATAAAAAATAATAATTCCAATTTTGGATGTTGACATGAGGCCACATCACTATATCAAGGGATCAGCACAGAAATTTCATTGAGACCTATGTACACGTGGGATCCTGAAAAATAATAAAGGCAGCTCTCCTACCCAGTAGGGAAAGGAGGAACCGTTTAGTGGAAGGTGTCAGGAAAACTGGCTCCCTGTGTGGAAAAAGGAAGACTGGATGCACACCTAACAAACAGTACATACAAAACAGACTCCACAACTAAAGGCCTAAATGTAAGAGGAAAAAATATAAAGTTACTAGAAGTGGGGTAAAAAATTTTTTTAATCCTTACCTGATGATATGTTTATTGAATTTTTTTTTTTAAGAGAGAGGGAGAAAAGAGGGGGAGAAGAAAGAGGGAGAGAAAGAGAGAGGAAAAAAACATCGATGTGAGAGAGAAACACTGATTGGTTGCCTTCTGTACATGCCTTGACTAGGGATTGAACCCACAACATAGGTATGTGCCCATAAGAATCCAACCTGCAACCTTTTAGTGCACAGGATGGTACTTCAACCAATTGAGCCACCTGGCCAGGGCAGAAGTGGGGTAAAATTTTTTAAAAGCCCTGACAGTTCAAATCATTTCAAAACAACAAAAAAGCTGATGAATTTGATCATATCAAAAATACAATTATCTGTTCAATGAAGAATACTGTCCATAAAGTAACGAACATCTTTCTGATTGGGACAAGATACTTGCAATTCTTAAAACCAGGAAGAGGCTGATATCTAGGATAGTCAAAGGATTCTTAGAAATTAATAAGAAAAAAATAAGGACCCTTATAAATGGGTAAAGGTCAAAAACCTGAAGTTTACAAAATAGGAAGCCCAAAAGGCTAGCAAGCATATGAAAATATGCTCAAACCCTTTGGTACTCAGAAAAATGTAAATTATAAATGAAATACCATTTGACATCTATTAGATAGTCCTAGTTTGAAGAGTGAATAATGTGTGTTTGTGAGGCTCTGGGCCATAGTCTTATGCACTGACAGGGAATGCAGGTTGGGGCAGCCATCTAGAGAGCAAATTAGTCACAGTAAGTGTTCACAGTCGTTCTGCTCCTGGGTGTGTGTGTGTAATTGCATCTTTAAAATGTTTATATATATATATATATATATATATATATATATATATGTATATGAATATATATATTTATATGTATATGTAAAATGGTCTGTCTGGAAAAAGTCCAGCAATTGTTAATTTAATGGTTTGAGTGACATGGATGTAACCTGGCAGCCAAGGAGAGCAGACTGGAATGCACGTGTGTGAATAATGATGACTTTACTGTACTAGTTAGTGGGGGAGGTAGACACTGTTGAGTGAGCATGTGTACTGTGTGGCTGTCGCACTGAAAATGACTGAGTGAGTACAGCAAGGAATCTGCATCAAATTTTGCATTAAGCTCGAACATTCCTCCACGGGAACTATTTGGATGATTCAGAAGGCCGCAGCTATGGGCAACTGGTGATTGGCAGCTTCATCACAACAAAACTCCGCCCATGCATCGCATCTCATGCAGTTTTTTGGCAAAATATCAAATCACCCAGGAGACTCAGCTGCCCTACAGCCCACATTTGCTGGTCTGCGACTTCTGGCTTTTCCCAAAACTAAAATCAACTTTGAAAGGGAAGAGATTTCAGACCATCTATAAGATTCAGAAAAATATGACTGAGCAGCTGATGGAGATTGGGAGAACTGTGTGAGGTCTCAAGGTGCCTACTTTGAAGGGGACGGAGACGTCATTGTCCTATGTACAATGGTCCTTGTGTCTTGTATCTTCTTCAATAAATGCCTCCTTTTCATAGTACATAGCTGGATACCTTCTGGACAGACTTCATATATGTCTAAAATATTATCCCTAAGTATCATAGGGGACATGCCATTTATGAAAATGCAAAATATATGCACACTAACAACAACACATATTTTACCAAAACACAAGAGAAAGGGAGCAAGAATGGTGATAAAAGTAACTAAAAAAATAAAATAGGAGAAGGGTTTTGAAGAGACCAATCACGAAAACATGTCAGAGGCTAACAACAACAACAACAACACTACCAATAACAAAAGAGGTCCCCAGACTCTCTCAGGTCCCCCTACTCTGACACTGCCTTCCAAAATAGCCTTTGGAGGCTCAACTAGGAACATTCAGAAATAACTGGATACTGGATAGCAAACAGTCAAACAGAAAAACAGCACTAAAAAAAGGACTAGATTGATAGAGTTTTTTCCAACTCTAAATGCTCTGAGAAAAGTGAAGAAACAACTACAGATTTTGAGGGAAAGTATTTTGTCAGAAAAATAATACTGAGCTAAGTTTTTCATGTGTGCGTGATCATTCACGTGATCATTCAGGTGGTGATGGAATTCAGAGAGAAAGACCTTGTTTGGACTTCCAAGGACTCAGAGGTATACTGCCTACTTACCCTTTTGAGGGATATATGTATATATATCAAGTAATGAAAAGGCAAAGTTACAGGGATGGCTAAATAATGTGATCTTGTTTTCAGCTCCAGCCGTCTGTTCAGAGCACTTGCTAAGAATTTGTGACTTTCTGTCGAATCTCAGATGCAGGAGCACCTGGCCTAATTAGCAGCATTGCCCATAGTCCCCTGCTGTATATGCAGACCTCCCCACACCCACAGAGAAAAGAGTGTAAAGGCCCAGAAACCAAACACCGACTCCCTCTGGGGAGGTGGGATGGGACTTAGATGCATGGGAACTTGGAATATTTCTGTATTGTATACATTTCTCATGAGTATAGACTACCTTCATGAAAACAACATATGGAATTATATATTTTAAATATATGTATTTTTATATGTATATTTTAAATATATTTTCTACATTTGCATGTATTTTTAAATATATGTATATATTGTAGTTATACCTTTGCAATAACAATTCTAATTTTTAAAAAATCCTCACCCAAGGATACGTTTATTGATTGTAGAGGCAGAGAGAAGCATCTATGTGAGAGAGAAACACTGATAGGTTGCCTCCTGTACGTGCCCCGATTGGGTATTGAACCCACAACCTAGGTATGTGCCCTGAGTAGGGATCGAACCCACAACCCTTTGGTGTGCAGACGACGCTCCAGCCAACTGAGCCATCAGGTCAGGGTGCAATTCCAATTTTGGATGTTCAATTAATAGCACTAATCAAATGTCAATTCTTCCCAACTTGACCTATGGATTTGATGCAATCCAAAACAAAATCCCAGCAAGTAATTTTATGGATATTGTCAAAATGTTTCTTAAGTTTACATGGTGTGGCAAAAGACCCAAAATAGTGAGCACAATGTTGAAGACGAACAAAGTCAGAGAACTGGCACTACCCGACTTCAAGGCTTACTATAAAACTGCAGTAATCAAGACAACATGGTATTGAAACCGATCTGATAAGTGTTCAAACTTGCATATGGGCTGATTCCACAGTGGAACGTGTGTTTTAAGTATGATGATATTGTTATAATAAACATATACCAACAAACAAAAAACCCAAAATGACAAGATGGATACATGTCCAGAAGTGACAGTCAGCCCTCCCGGACTGTGTTAGACGCCACAGAAACAAAGGCACATTTCCCTGAGAACACTTAACCAGTTTCCTTCTAGAGGGAGCATCATATTAATATCCCTGCTTTAAAAAACTTAACTAAATTTCACAATATGTTTGAATTTTACTTCTCCATTAATGTCATTTTCCTGTTCCAGGATCCCATCCAGGATATCCTGTTACATTTAGTTGTCCTTTCTCCTTAGGCCCCTCTGGGAGATTCCTGCACTTTAAACAGAGCGTAACCATCTGCCATGGGACTGTGATTCCTACCAAAGACGCTGGGCCGCCCGTCCCCATGGGAGGTTGAAGGCACTCACCCTGGGGCCCGCCTTGGTCTGCTGTTGGGAGCAGCAGCGGTTTCTGTGTCTCCGTCCTCCTCCTCTCACTGGCGCACTGGGTGTTCTTTGCACTGGAGCTCTCCCCAGGGCTGTCACCTGGGGGTTAGAGCCGCAGAGCCTGTAGCAGCCCAGCCCATCTGGTAGCTCTGCTCTTAGCACACACCCAGGCCTGGAGTCTTCTCTGCTATTCTGGGGTGACTAACCTCTTGAATGAGTGGCCTTGATGGCAAATGGGCTCCACCCGACTTTAATAACTTCAAAGAACTGGGAGCCCAATGCTTTTTTCCCTCATATGTTGGCCCCAAATATACAGAAAACACGCAGACCCTCTTGGCAGCACAGAAGGATGGGCTTGAGAGGACCCTCAGCCTGAGGGTCCCAGCATTGCAGGGGGCTACGTGGTGTGCCCTCTCCAGGCCTCCGTCTGCTGGTGTTATCAATATTTAACCACAGAGCAGGGAGCCAAGCCTTGCCTTTTACAGCCTGTTCTTTCTCATAGTGACAGTCATGGACTTATGTGAATTCCTCACAAGAAGCTATAAAAGACCTTTGGAGGGTAAGGGGTGGGGAAGGCAAGGCATGTGAGGCTCTGTGAGTGATACAGAAAGGAGGAAGCTGGCCCGGTCAGACAGCACAGAGTGGGGAGGGCTTGGTAGGGGGGCAGGAGTAAGATGCTCCCCCCACCAGGCCAGACTCATTCAGTCGCAATCATCAGTGGGCTCTGGACTTTTCCACCCACTGGCTCCTTGAATCTTCAACAACCCTTGGAGCCGGTTGGGCAAAAGAGCAGGGTTCCCATTTCACAAATGAGGTAACAGAAGTTGAGTGAGGCCAAGTGACGGGTGCAAGTTGCTGAAAAGCACAGGTCAACAGTGTGGACAAGAGCATGGTGCTGAGGAAAGGAGACCCAACAGGGAACCTAGGGACCTGCATGGGACTCCAGCAACTCCTTATTTTATACCTCATCCATTCGTTTGTTCATTCATTCGTTCATTCGTTCATTCATTCATTCATTCACTCAATAAATATTATTTGAGTACCGGCTACACAGATGACATGGTAAACAGGAAAGGCACAGACGCTGCTCTCCTGGAGTTCACACTGTAGGGGGAAAGACAGACAACAAAAAGTTATCGAAAACATAAGATCATTTCAGCTAGTGACAATTTCTGTGAATAATTTAAAGAACAAAATGATATAGAGGGAGATGATATAGAAAGAGATATAGAAAGAGATGGGGTCAGAGGGCTATGATTGCTATAGTCCTATACTAAACACTAAAGGACAAGGAGTTAACCATGCAAAGACCTGGGACAGCGGGTGCAAAGGCACTGAAGAAATAATGAGCTCATAATGAGGTTGAGAAACAAAAGGGAGGGCACTGGAGGGCGCTGCACCTAAAGCGGGGTGAGGAGGGGAAGCAGCATAGAATGAAGGTGGAGGGTTGACAGAAGCAGAACTTGCAGGGCCTTGTAAAACAGGATAAGGTGTTTGGATGTAATGAGAAACCACTGGAGGGTACAGGCAGGGAAGTGACATGATGTGATTGACATTTATCTAAGATCACTGGCCTGTTGGGTGGAGAGGAATGGGGAAACCTATTGGGAGGCTGTTGCATTTGGCCAGGCAAGAGATAGTGGTGGTTTGGACCGCGGTGTGGTTGTGGAAATAGTGAGAAGTGGTCAGATTCAGGGTGCATTTTGGAGAGGAAAGCTGCTGATAGATTGCAAGCGAGAGGAACTCAGCACCAGCTCTCTTAAGCACCAAAGGAATTCAAAAGGTAACTATTGGCTCATGTAACTGGGAAGAGCCAGGTGGAGCTGACCTTAGGGAGAGCTGGAACCAACAGCCTGAAAATCCTTAGCTGTCCTCTCCCTTGCTCTCTCCCTGCTTCTCTCTGGATATCAGGCTCACCCCCAGACGCTAGCCATCTGCAGGAAGCTGGAGCCGGCTGCAGGAAGTTCCGGCTCACACCCTGACAGCTGGAGGAGAAGGGGTCCCTTCTCTCCACTCCAGTTTGGAAATTGTCCTGACCTGGGTCACGTCCCCATGTTTTGGATCGGTTGTTTTAGCCAAGGACGAGGTACGATGGATGACCAGCTCAAACCTCAGGCCCATCCATGCCATCTTGAGTAGCCAAAAGAGACAGGCTAGGAGCTGGACAGCCACTCCAGTTTGGGTCCCTGAAGTGACCCCTTGACCAGAAATCTCCTGTCTGCCCTGGAGGAGAATCATGGGGACCCTGCGCCACCCCGGGTTTTCCGCTCTTCTGCCTGTTTCTTTTTTATTCCTCCTCTTATCCTAGTTCTCCCCGCGATACCTTACCTAATAATAACTATTCTTCTGTGCCTGCTCTGTGCCAGGCATTAAACTAGCAATGAACAATCACAGACACTGTCTCCAACCTCATGAAGATTTTAGCTTAGTGGGGAGACTGACAGGTGGTCGCACCAGGGAACATGTAATTATGACTGCTATGTGACAAGTGCCATGAAGAAAATGTACACATGTGCACCCTAAGCTCTCCCTTCCTCATAGTTTCAAATATCACTTCTGGACAAGTCAATTCTGCTTTAGAGCCTCCTTTCCTTATGCCTCCAGTCCCTTGTCCCGCTGCCTGGAAGAGGGTGGGCAATTAGTGGAGTAGAAAGGGCTTTTGGCTTTCCCCTGCTGTTCTATTATCTGCCACTTCGTAATGCTAGTCTCAGCTTACCTTTCACCTTGTCAGGGAGTCCTTTCACATCAGTTAAAAGTTGTGTTTGGCTCTGTGTCACAAAGACCCAATTTGAATGGTTTAAACATATAAGGGTTTATTTTCTCATATAAGAATTTCTGAAGTAGCTGGGTACTGCTGTCAGAAGAAGTTCAGGGAAATTGGGGCTGAGATTTCTGAGATTCCCTCATAGCCTCAAGGTGGCTGATGCAGCCCCAGCTATTATGTCCAAGTTCCAAGGAGAAAAAAGGAAAAAATGAAGAAGGACCACAAATTGCAGCCACAGGATATAATAGACAAATAATCTACCAGAGGGTGAATCCAGACAACAGGGAGAGCTATGGGCAAGAGCTGACAGCCCCAAAGGCTTCAAGGCGGTAGAGACTGCTCTGTTTTTCCAAATCAGCCTGCTCTGCTCCCTGGGGTGAGCCATCCACCGTCCGCTGACACCAGGAGGGTGGATACCCTTGGCTAGCTGTTTGTTCTTATCTTCATTTTGATAAGCATCACTTACACTCAGAAACCAATAAAATAATTTAATTTGAACAATAAATCTGTAATAGGGTAGTTGAGAGGAAGGATGGGTGTCCAGTGGGAAGCCATCTATACACTGAAGTAAAATGATCTGAATGATCAAATGCTCTTTCTTCCTTTCTTCCTTCCTTCCTTTCTTTCCAGAGAGGAGGAAGGCAGGGAGAAACAGAGGGAGAGAAATATCAGTGTGGGAGAGATACATCAATTGGTTGCCTCTTGCATGCCCTCCGCTGGGGACCTGTCCCACAACCCAGGAATGTGCCCTGACTAGGAATTGAACCAGGGACCTTTTGGTTCACAGGCCAGTGCTCAATCCATTGAGCTACACCAGCCAGGGTGAAAAGCTTGCTGGAAGCATTTTGGGAACATTTGCAAAGTATTGGAACTTTGGGCAAAAACTGATGTGAAGCATGAAACAAAATAGGTACTTTCTCCATGAAAGGTCATTCTGCAGCCACCACCGTCATCCCTTTCATCTCATCTATGTATCGTTTGAGACTTCCTATGTCATTGACCCTTGTTTAGAATACTTAATACTTTATATGTCTTTGACCCCTTGTTTCTGGTTACAGTATAACCAAACATCTTCTTCAGTCACTGAATAAATCAAAGTCCAACAGCAGAATAAAATCGAAGTCAGCCTTTCGTTTTAATTGTATGAGGTACTTGAAGCTTAATTGTTCCCATAAACAGCACTCCAAATAGCCCCCCTCTTGAAGCGAACTTGCTCAACGTGTTTGAGGAATGTCAAACAACTTGGTAAGTCAGGATTATGTATTACTTTATCTGAGTTTTGTTGCTCCCAGCTTTCACAAGCAAGTCAACATTCTTTAAGGGAACAGAGGTAGAATACAGATGGCCCCAGGATTAAAGCAAACACTTCAGACCATTCAGTCAGGACTATTTCATTAGTCAAAGTTATATTACAATCTTGCTGGGAGGGCAAAGGCCTCTGGTAGTCCCACTTTAGAAATTCACTTTTGGTGAATGGTTAGATAATAGTGATTAGATTTTTTTAAAAAAGAAAAGAATGTTCAATTAAAAGGTCACTAAGACTCTTGACTGATGTCAGTTGGGTTAGTGGGTGATTAGTTTTCTAGAACAAGTCTTAAGCCTCTAACGTTTATTGGAAAATTTTCTAAGCATTTTTACAGGAACCATAAGTTCTATCCAGAAGGAAGTTGTGAATTAAATAACTTAATCAGGAAAAAGTTCTGTCCTGCATCAGATTTGAGACAATTTTTATTTCTTTTTTTCTTAAATTTTTCAATTACAGCAGACATTCAATATTATATTAGTGTCAGGTGTACAGCATAATGGTTAGACATTTATATAACTTACAAAATGATCCCCCTGTTAAGTCTGGTACCCACCTGGCACCATACATAGCTACTATAATATTATTGACTATATTCCCTAAACTGTACTTTACATCCCCATGACTATTTTGTAACTGCCAATTTGTACTTCCTAATCCCTTTACCTTTTTCACCAAGTCCCCCAAACTCCCTTTCATTTGGCAGCCATCAGCTTGTTCTCTGTATCTATGAGTCTGTTTCTGTTTTGTTTATTCATTTATTTTGGGTTTTTTTAGATTCCACATATGCGATCATATGGTATTGGGACAATTTTTCTTTTAAAGCCTCAGATACTTTTGTCTTTTTACTTTTGGCTCAGATAACTTTTAAAGATCTACTTTGGTTAAAAAAAAAAAAAAAAGAAAACCTCTTTACATTATTTTATTTCTTGCCTAGTTGATCACTTTTTACATTTTTTCATAAATGGAGGAAAGTAGGCATATAAAACATACACAATCACTGTTGCCAGAAGTGTTTGTATCCATATTGATATTATTCCTTTGTTAAATAAAAAGCCTTCATAGCCAAAAGCTTTTCTGAAAGAAAGGGCTTATTGGGCCATATGCTAGCCAGAAAAAGGACCAGGTCCCAGGACATACAGTCTAAACTACCACGAGCAGAGCTGGGTGGAAGAGAGAGACATGTTCATTGTCCCAGAGCTGACAGGGCTCTTTAAAAGGTGAAGTGGGGCACCTCTCGGATAGGAATGACAAGGAGACGTTTCTGAGATGTCTTGAATTAAATTACAGCAGGCTGGGTAGAAGGGAGAGACAAGAGGTTCACCAGTTAACAACTGCAGGGCAAACCCAACAAATCACGGTTTATATTACTGAATGTTTAAACTTTGAATTAACTTCCAGGTGGCTATTTCTGAAATTATCTAAAGAAAATAGCCAGTAGCCATTGACCCCCAGGAGCCTATACTTCTTGCTTACACATGAACTTTCCAGACTGTTGCCCATAACCAATCCTAAGAGCAAACACTTTTTCCTTGGATTCTGCGCCTCTCACAGAACCAGCACCACTTCACGTTCTCCCACCCCCTTATCCATAGCCAGTGTAAATTCTTTCAAAAACAGTTTACATCTTTCTTCCCTTACTCGATGTATAAAGAGGCTGTCGACTTCAGGATAGCAGACATCTTGTTTTCTCTATCTAGTCCTGCTGTTGCTGGTGGTTTAGACTTCCTGCCCCAGGACCTGGTCCTTTTCTGGCAAGTATTTGCTTCAATAAACCCTTTCCTTTAAAAAAACTTTTGGTCATAAGAGTTTTTTAACAGGTGCATAGTCCATAAGGAAGAAATATTTATGCTTCTGGATTCGTTGTGGGAAATATTTGTATTTCCCTTGGTTGTGGGCAATATTTAAATTTCCCTTGATTTATTAGGTTGACTGTCAGCAGCAAAGGGATATTTCCTTATCCTTAAGCTGCTTCTCAGTCTTGCACTCTCTAATCTAGCTTCCTCCAGATGTCATGTGACCTCTCCAGTCTCTCTCCTCCAGGACACCCAGTCCTGTTGGCCTATTGCTCTCCCAGTCTCATGGTGGGGAAGAGTCTGTTGCATAGAACAGCCTCCCTTGTATTTCTCTATCATCTGTGGGGAAGGGGCTTGGGACATGGTCAGCGTGTCGTGGTCTGTCCCCAGCAGATGGTCTTGCAGCCCCAGCCCTTCTTTACAGAGAGGCTGGACAGACCAGGGAGTGACATCCCCTGCTGAGACCACAAAGAACAGTAACAACACGGATAGCGCAATCACTCAGAATCAGAAGCACTGCCGCTTTGTTTTGTCCCTCCCAACTCTGTCAATGACTAAAAAGGTTGGTGAGCAGCGCCTCCTCGCGGACTTCTGCTGCAACTACAGGCAGGGTATGGCAGTAATACAGAATAGGGAACTTCTCACTGAAGGCTGCATCTCTAAAGGCTTCGCTGGGCTATGGCCCTAAGTTCAGTTTCTGCCCCTGACATTGGTCCGATACATGTGTATGACAGAACTTCCCCTGGTCAAATGTGGCATTGTTTCCCACAGCATATTCAGTTCTTGTGGATTCAGGCATCTGCCACCTTACCAACCAGAGCTCTGACCATTTCGCTCCTCGTGCCCCTGCTCCATCTTTCCTAAGGCTCTGGCTGCTCCTCCATCTTGACTCTTAAAGCCAAAGGGCTGATCTCTCTCTCTCTCTCTCTCTCTCTCTCTCTCTCTCTCTCTCACACACACACACACACACACACACACACACTTAATATGGCAGATCTTCTCATTCCTCAGAAATCATACACACATAGTTAGGGTCAGGGTCAGACGACGAGGAACAGAGAGAGGAGATGTTTCCTGCTTCCTCCCATTCCCTGATCAGCTTTTTTACACCCACAGCTGACCCTGTCCTGGAGGCCAATCCCAAGTTTTAGATTTCTATCAAACGTCTCTACTTGCTTGTCTCACCACTTCCATTTCAAAGTATACAAAGCTGAAACATCGTCAAAGCTGAAACACCAAGCAAGTCTTTCTCTGTCAATGACACTGCTCTTGTCTTGTCACTCAGACTCAGAACTTGGAGTAACTTCATTGATTTAATGTGCACACATTCTCCATTCATCAGGGGACAGAAATTTCTGGAAACAGGACCAGAAAACAGCCGAATTAGCATTATCTTGGATGTGCTTTCTGGACGTCTAAATTTGTTACCTAAAACTCCTTACCATTAGGCGTCCTCATCTCTGTGTACTTTATATTAATTCAAGCAGTAGATTTGTCTGGGCTTGGCAATGGAAACCTCTCCCCACCCTCCATGCATCCCTAGCTTACTACAAGAGTTTCAGAATAATTTCCATTTTATCATTCTTGGAAAGCTTCAATCGTTACAATAATACTATTTTCAGTAAAATAGATGTCTGCTGCAAATCAGAATTAGATCTTTATGGCAGGCAGCAGCTGTGCGTGGACGACGTCGGCCCCTTAGACCGAGCAGTCACTATATGGTCGGCAGAGGGCGCTGTGAACAGTCCAATGCAGCTCTGGAGGACAGCGGCTGAAAATTAAACGTAACAATACAGGCTCTCTAACTCAAGAAGAGAAATGACATTAACACAAATATAAAAAAGAGTCACACTTTAGACAGCAACCAGGTTCTAAGGTGAAAACCCAAATGACTATTTCGGTTGTATTTATAGCTCCAGCTGTACGGGAAAACAGCATTTTAAAAAAATGTTAGAATCATATTCCACTTAGCCTAAGTGAGGATACTGAAAGAGAATTCATTGAAAGAATTAAAGCTTTGGGACCCCACCTCACTCTCCTTCTCATATATGATCAAATGAGAAGAATTACCGAAAATACAGTCTCTTCCTTCCTCTTTGCCCCTCTCTATTCAAGTTACAAGTGAATTTGTCAATGTCTGTGCATACATTAGACAACTTCCCTTAATAACTCCAAAATGTGTGACAAGCAAAAGTCCCCACATAATATTAAAGGGATGCATGCAGAAAGACATTAAGTCTCTACAGGCAAGAGCTCAGGGGAGAACGTCTGAACTTAGTATTGAAGAATGGGTAGCGTTTAGAGAGCGAGGGAGGTGGGGAGGACATCTAGGAAGGACAGCATGAGCCAGGCATGGAAGCATGGATGTACAAAGCTCATAATTTAGGAAACAGTACCGATCTAGGGTCACTGGGTCTAAGCCTATGTGATGGAGAAAGTTGGCAAGAGTGACTAGAAAGGAATCTGGTCTTCTCTCTAAAGCCTGGATGTGTGACCACATTTAACAAGAGGGCCGGCTACTGCATGGGCCTCGGGAAAACAAACTCTAATCACTAGAAGTCCTTGGAGGTCTTCTAAGAACACCCTCTGCCTCCCACCCGCTCTCCCTAAGAATCTCCCCTATGGTATCCTTCTGTGCCTTTGATTCACCAGAGTGACTAAGAGAGCAAGAAATTGAGTCTCATTTTCCACATGTGCAAAATAGGACACCAACTTTCATAGTTGTAGGATTGCTGTGAATGCCAAATGGTTAGGATCAAGCTTTGGAGCTACATGGGCTAGCTGTGAAGACCTTAGGTAATTACTTAACTTCACTGAGCCTCAGATTCTCTTCAGTAAAATGGTTATAATATCTACTTGGTATGGTTGGTATAAGGATTAAGGAACTAGTCAAAATGCTTACTTAGTCAAAGCGCGGCATATAGTAAATATTAGTTATCATGGCTGAGAAAATGAAGCAGAATTACGGAAATAGTGAGATTTCATAGTCTGAAACACATGATTCATTCTCAAAAGAGTTCTTTCGGGAGGTTAGATAAATCGTGCAAATAAATGCAACAAAAAATCACGTGGACTCTTAAAACCCGTAAATTTCTTCACCTACTGCAACACCAGTAGCCACGCCTCCAACCAGGAAGACCCCGCCCCTAATCGCTGACAGACCCCGCCCATCGGATTTCCTCCCCACCTCGCCAGGGTCCCGCCCCTGCAGCCTCGCTCGCTTACCGTCACCCAGAAGCGCCCGCGCAGGGTAGGCCGCCCGCGGAAGCGATGAGGGTTCTAGTGAGGCGCTGCTGGGGGCCCTTGCCAGGCGGTAGCGGCGCTGGCCGGAGACCGAGCCCCCAGTGTCGATCGCTGGCAAGGCTCGGTGGGTCCCCTGGCGGGGAGGACGGCCGGGGCGTCCGAGTCCGCGAGAAGCCGCCCTGGCGGGTGCTCTTCTTCGGCACAGACCAGTTCGCCCGCGAGTCGCTACGGGCACTGCATGCCGCCAGGTACCGGGACCGGGGTTTAGGGGGCCCGGCTACAGAGGGCGCCGATGTCTAACCTTTGCGGCCAGCCGAGACTGTTTGGACTCCCGTTGGGGAGAACTGCGGCGCCAAAATTGTGTGGGCCTAGATCTCGGCGAATCCGAGCGCCCGGAAGGTGCACCGCAACCGCCCAGGACTCCTCTATCCACACTCCACACTCCAGGCCCTTTAGGCTCTCCGAGCGCTACCCGGCGCCCCGAGGTGCCGCGGCGGTGCTAGTCGCTTTGCTGCGTGCCTCACTTCCGCCCCGTCCTACCGCCTCCCTGTCCGTTTGGATGTCAGGAAAGCGGAGCTCAGAGAGGTTAAGCGATTGCACAAGGTCATCAGCTGAACCGACTGGGACTAAAATGGGGTCTGATTTTAAAGTCCTCCCCATTCTACTTCCTCGGATTCATCTAATTTGTACCCTCCGATTCCTTGGGCTTAACTCTCAGGCATCCCCTTGCACACCCGTGTCTTATTCCTTCGCTCGCCATCTCCTCCCTGTATACAGCCAGACCTAGTTTTCTGGGGCTGAAATGAGGACACAGTCCAAAAAACGACCTGTTTTCAAATGAATAAATTTATAAATCAGAACTCTTAGGTATACATTTAGTATTTCTAAAATTTAACAAATCTTATTTACTGGAAAAAAATTATTTGCGATCCAACCTGTCCTGAAAGCCCGTGGTATGTGGTGGCGATACCCATGCGTAGTGCCCTGCCTCCTTTCCCCCACCCTCTTTTTTATATTTCCCCTCTCCTTTTTCCCCTGCAGCAACCCGTGCCCCGCCTCCACTCATTTCTGTCATCTCACTCCATTGAGTCTTCCCTACAAATACTGTACTTCACAGTAGCCCCTCATATTGACTCCCTACTCAATCCCGTTGTATCATATTCCTCCCTCCACACACTGCCCTCTGTACGCACACCTTGAAACACTCCCTTCGTACATGCTGCCACACTCTCCGAATGCTGCTTCCCCCATATGCCTCCCACAGCTCACACTGCATGTATCTGCCTGACCCTTCCTCTGATGCTTCCCATCCTGGGCTTTTAGGGTCCGCCTATACACTCCTTTACTTGTAACTCCTTAACATGAGTTGCAGTAACTGCTAAATAAATATATGAACAGTCCCCCCTGGGTGATGGAATACTATCCAGCAAGTTAAAAGAATAAAGTAGTGCTGTATGTACTGTCATGGAATGATGCCCATGAAATATATATATATTTTCCCAAGTGTTTATTGTTTGAGTAACACATGGTTATGGAACAAAATTAAAGAGATGCAAAGGATATTCAGTGAAAGGTCAGTTCCTCCCACCTCCGTCTCCCAGTTTCCAGTTCCTCTCTTCAGAGACAGCTACTGTTTTTTGTTTCTTATTCTGGAAATGTTTGTTGCATGTATAAGCAAATGTATAATTAACCTATTTTTCAAAAGACTCCCATAATAGCATATGTAATGTTACGAGGGGAAAAAAACCAAAACCAAATATGAGGTAATATATGTAATATCCCAGTTGTATAAAATATCTATACTGTATATGTTTCTGTATGTACAAGAAATTTCTAGAGCCATGCTGTCCAAACAGTAGCCACTGGCTACATGTTGCTCTTTAAATAGAAAATAATTAAAATTAAGTAAAAATAAAAACTCAATTTCTCAGTTGCTTCATGAATTTAATCATAAAAATACTGTAGAAATGTGTGACATAGTTTAGCTTTGAGCTATTGTCTTAACTGTCACATTTTCTTCCAATCTTTATGACTTAAGGGAAAACAAAGAAGAAGAGTTAATTGAAAAATTGGAGGTGGTCACAGTGCCTTCACCGTCACCAAAAGGACTGCCAGTGAAGCAATATGCTGTCCAGTCTCAGCTGCCAGTGTATGAATGGCCAGATGTGGGAACTGGAGAATATGATGTTGGAGTGGTCGCTTCATTTGGCCGACTTTTGAGTGAGGCTCTTATTCTTAAATTCCCCTAGTAAGTTTTATTTATAAGGAAATATATTATAGAGACCTTGGTCTTTATATATGGACCTGGTATCTGTAAAATGCAATCAACTTGAACTCTAATTCTGCTCTCTTTAGTATTTTCTCTTAAAAAATTTTATTAGTGGCATGAATTGTTAAAATGTATCATGTTCTTTATCGCTATCTATGGGCTTTCACCGCCCCCCCCCTTAAATTCCGTATATATGCTGACAACTCCCAGATTTGTCCCTCTAGTTCAGATCTCCATCTGAACTCCCGGCCCCTGATCCCCACTGTCTTCTTCACAGCCCTGTTTGGATGTCTAATAGACATCCAGCATGTAAGAGGCCCAGAACTATATTCCTGAACTTTTGCCTGAAATCTGCACCTTCCCCAAATCGTCATCTCAGCAGGTGGCACCTCCCACCTTCTAGTTGCTCCCCAGACGGCGGAGTCGCTCTTGATGTGTTATCTCACACCACGCTTGCAGCCCATCAGGAGGTCCTATTAGCTCTGTCTAGGATCTGACTGCTTCTCATCGTTTCCACTGCTGCCACTCACCTGTCATACTGCAGTAGCTTCTTAACTGGTCTCTACATTCCTCCTTGGTCCTCTCAGTCTTTTACCAATGCGACAGCCAAAGTGACCCTTTTAAAGCATAAGTCAGATCAATCACTCCGCTCAAAATTCTCTGGTGGTTTTCCATCTCACTCAAAATAAAAGTCAAAGTCCTTATACTGGCCTGTGAGGAGCTGCCGCCTTGGTTTGGTCTCCTGCTGGCTCCCTGGCCTCCCCTCCTGGTACCATGCCTCCCGTTCACAGCGCTCCAGCCACGCTAGCCTCCCTGCTGTGCCTGGATGGTGCCGTCCTCTACCTTCCTCAGAATCTTTGTACTTACGGTTCCCTCTGCCTGGAAAACTTTTCTCCCATGGAATTCCTTCCATCCTTTATATCCTTATGTTTTTGCCCACTGGCTTCTTACTGATAAAGCCTTCTTTGACACTATTAAAATTGTAATCTCCCACCCAATAGTCCTATCCCTGTCTCTGCTTTATTTTTGTCCGTAGCTCTTAGCACCAGCTGACAAACTTTTTACGTATTTTGTTTTTTATTTCTCATTTCCCACTCTTTGCACATAAACTCCCTGAGGGTAGAGTTTTTTTTCTGTTTGGTTCACTGGTGCTTGTATCCCCTGGAACTTAGACCATTGCTAGCACATGGATTGTGCTCAGCTGATACTTGTTGAATGAGTGGGACTGAGCTCAACAGTGGAACTTAAAATATAAGCCTCTCTCATATACATACACTTTCAAGTGCATACTCACGCTGATGGAGATATCATTGAACTAATGACAGATCAGTAAATTATTTAAATTGCTCATTAATGGCTGATGAGTGTGTTGGGATAAACAGCGAAGGTGACAACGGGGATTCAAGAAGCTTGTTTTAGGCATTCTATATGCAAACCAAGAGAAGTGAGGATAATTATGGAACTAAACTATAAATACAGCTCACATCCTCCATGAGATGCACGCATAATAGAGTTTGGGTGGTTCTCATACAGTAAAAAAATGCATTTTTTGTTTTTATTTAAAAAACTCCTAGACATTGTGAACCGTTGTGCCACATCTTTGGAACAATGAATAGTTGTTCTTGCTCCACTTCTAATTAAGTTTCATTGGTCTCATGGTAAGAGAGTGAACTTAGCTTTTCTGATAGTACAAGAGTAGATTTAACTGTTAGTTTTTCACATTTTCTGGGAAAGTTTAAAGATAAAAAGCATATTAGTTTAGGTAGCAATAGCTAAATGGTACAGCCTACTTGCAACTAATTTCTGCCTTTTCTTTTTTTTAAGATTTTTAAAAATTAATTAATTAATTTTTTTAAATACATTTGTCTCTGCCTACCCCCCCACCACTTTCCCTTGCCCCCTCCCTTCCTCCCTCCCTCCCTCAGCTCTTCCCCTTTGGTTTTGTCCATGAGTCCTTGCTATACGTTCCTTGACTTTTCCCTTCCCTTCCTTTTCCCCCACCCCCACTCCCTCCTTCCCTCTTGTCTGTGTTGGTTTCTTTTCCTTTCAGTGTTGCTGGTCTTATTTTCCTTGCATCTTTGTATTGTTGGTTAGGTTCCACTTATAGGTGAGATCATACTAATTTCTGCCTTTTCTAACTCAGTGGCATATTGAATGTCCATCCCAGTTGCCTCCCGAGGTGGCGTGGTCCAGCCCCTATAATCCATACTGTGCTTCATGGAGACACGGTTACTGGAGTAACAATTATGCAAATCAGACCTAAAAGGTAGAGCTTATTTTCTCGAGATTTTTGAACGTTGATATTAGACTGTTCGGGGGAGTGTAATTTCTTAAACTCCAGAGTTCCTCCTTTGCTTTTGTCCTCTTTCCATTTTTTCCTGGTTTCTAACATAAGCCATATGTGTTTTGGTATTTATGTAGTATCTTTTTAAAGCCGTTATGAAATTTTTAACTTGTTAATTGAAATAAATTATATTATTAATAACTGCATTTTTATGAAATATATTGTGTAAATAAGAGATAGGTTTCTGTATATTAGTTGTTATGAATCTCATTCTGCCAGTCTTGGCTTCTGTAGTCAAACTATGGTCAAAAAATTTTTGGAACCTGACATAAGAATATATTGTACACCAATAATTGTCTTAAACAATTTTTTGTTACACCTATAATCTAAGAAGCAGTTATTAAAATTGCTTCAGAAATGTATTAAGCCTTTACCAATTGTCACCACTGTCCCCATAGAAGAGAATAATTCATGAGTTCACAAAAACAACTCAGTATCCTGGATTTGCTTTAATTTACTTCAGAAAAAAAGAGGGGGCTAGATGAAACAAGAGAGGCAAAACTTTCATAATTCTAAAGTTTGGGTGGTGAATACATGGTGCTTCATTAGACTCTTCACTGTTTTCTGAATGTTTGTAATTTTTCATAATAAACATTTTATCAAAGCTCGTAGATCAAAAATAGAATTAACAAAATCACAAAGTTAAATATAAATATTCAGAAAAAAAGCATATTTCTAATAAAGGCTAATGACCAGTATTTACAGAGGTTGGTCTCAAATACAGGATTTGTGGGAATACAAATACTTGTACCTACTTATAGTCAACAATAATTGTAATCCACGTAAAACTCTTGTCCTTTGAGAAAGGAAAGATACAATAGAAAGAAACAATTACGCCCTGACTGATGCAGCTCAGTAGGTTGGGCGTCGTCCCATAAACTGAAAGGTCACCAATTTGATTCCCAGTCAGGGCACTTGCCTGTGTTCCAAGCTGGGTCCCCTGGATGGGGGCTTATGAGAGGCAACCAATGGATGTTTCTCTCGTACATTGATGTTTCTCTCGTACATTGATGTTTCTTTCCCTCTCATTCTCCCTCCCTTTCCCTCTCTCTAAAAATAAATAAAATCTTTTTAAAAAAAGAAAAATAATTCAGAATTTCCTAATTGTATTGCCTTGGAAAAGAAACTCCTTGCTCTATGCTTTCATTATACAAATAGAGATTTTTTTCATAGTATTTATTACTAATGGTAGAATTATCTGTAATTGTAATTAAATCTCTGGTATGCAACTTTATACTTTTTTCCTTTAAGAAAAAAATAAGTTTAAAATCTAAATACAGGCCAGATTTTACTCACACTTCTTTCAGATTGACATTTATCCCTTGCTAATGGCTAATAGTCAAATTTGTGGCCAAGGTTAAACTATCCTTGTGATATGTAAATATTCACATAGACAAACATTTTGATTGTAAGAAACCGTCAGTAATAATGTTATGATTGCTTTTTATTTTTTTGGTAGATTTGATATAGGTCCAATTATCCAACAGGAAACCGTTCCCGTGCCCCCCAGGAGCACCGCAAAGGAATTGGAAGCAGTGCTGTCAAGGCTGGGTGCCAACATGGTACAGTTCTCTGATATCCCACTGCTTTTATTCCTTTAGTACATTTCCTAAGTGGTTGCGATGAAAAGACCAATTTTATGATACGTAATTTTAAGTTTGTGTTTTTTAAGAGTGATTTCTGTCCCCGCCTTCCTGAAGATTAGCTTGGCATTAGTGATCTCATGGAAGTCTTTGAGAATTTACACAGAATGGGTACTTTCTCAATAATAAAACTCAATAAAGGTTTTCAGATGAAACACATGGCCTTATATGAGCCACTGTTTTACAGTGAGGCTTTAAGAGTCAACCGTTTCCATCTCATGACGCACATAAACTAATTACTAAAATTCTGTGGCAACCCCAAAAATATACCTTTTGCCAATCTGACAAAAAATAGACATATTTTTAATTCATTCGCACTGGACGGCTGTTGTTGTGTTGGCTGTTGTCACTTTTTTAACAATCTAAAGGAAAAGAGGTCAGTGCCCCTGGCTAAATAGTCAGGCACTGCATGTTTTAAAAATTCTTGCAGCAAACTGGTTGAAAATTGCTGTTTTAGACTGTTCTTCCCAATTTTACTCTCCTCAGTCTCATAGATATTCTTTTCATCCCTGTCACCCTGAACCCACTGCATTTCCCAAGTGACTCTTAGCTTTCCTCCAGGCACTTCTGTGCCTGTGTTCCAGTCATTTGCGTCCACACACACTGGAATTCTGCTGACCCCCAGCTGTAAATGGACCCCATGGCTTTGTATAGCTCATTGAATCTGTAAATAGTAGGGTCTGAGTACATGCTTAATGACCAAATTAATGATTTTACATGAACTAGTTAATTTTTTGTAGAGGAAAACTTTTCCCTCAACTATTTACATAGATGGTGTTTCCCATCCTAGGCTCTCACCTTGGAAACGCTGTTATTGAGTGGTCATTTATTGAACATTGGGCTTGGGTGCTGGGACTGTTCTAGATATTGTATAGACTTACTTTTTTACTTTCCCAACAAACCTTTGAGGTAGCTCTTGCTGTTGACCATTCTGCAGATGATGATGTTGCAGGCCACAGACAAGTAAAATAATTTTTCCACAATAACGCAGCTAGTAGGTAGTGGAACTGGGGTTTGAGTCCAGAACTGTATGATTCCAGAATACACTCTACTGCTGTGAGGCTCCGCTGCCTTCCCCTGCTGTGGGGTGAGGGTGTGGATAACTGAGCATAATCTGTCCTGACACCAGAAGCTTGTGGAGCCAGGCAGAGCTCAGCGTTCTCTGGAGACAAATCAACGACTTGCACTCTACGGAGAGCATCATCTCCACCGCAGCACCCCGCCCCCCCCCCCCCCCCCCGCCGCCCCCTGCAATAGACGCACATGCTCACAGCTCAAACCAATTTTACTACCTCACCTGCCGCACAGCTCCTTTAACGCTATAGATAATTTCATGGTACTGACTTGCAATGTATTTCTGCTTTTGTTCTTTTCATCTTGAATATATTGCTCTCCTTTTTTAGCTTATTTCAGTTTTGAAAAATTTGCCTGAAAGTTTGAACAATGGAAGGCAGCAGCCGACTGAGGGGGTGACACATGGTGAGTGAAGGCTGCAGAGGCTCTTACCTCTCCCGCAGGTTCTGTTTGTCTTGATGGCATCTGAACAGTCTGACTTCTTCATTTGCACATTTCCCTCAATTTTGACTAAAGGTTGAATGCCTACTTGTATGTCCTTTCTAAAGAATGGTTGGTAAGCTCTCCCTCTCCCTCTTCACATGCAGCCTCATGAAAGATGGGCAATTTTTTTCCTTACTCTTTGTGTTGAAAAATACCCAACACAGAGATAAGTTGAAAGATGTGACTGCTTGTTTAACCCAGAGTCAACAATTATTAATGTTTGGTCATATTTTCTTTTGTTTCCTTTAAATGTGTGTTTAGTTAGTATATATATATATATTTTTTTTTTTTTTTTAATTTCTGCTTAACCGTTTGGGAGTATGTGCCATGACCTTTCATTCCTAATCATTTCAGCATGCATTTCCTAAGAAAAATGAACAGTTCCACAATAGCGTCTCATAGCTAGTCCATATTTAAGTTTTCCTAATTGTCTAAAAAACATTTTATAGCTGTATTTTTTCAAAGATCCAATTGTAATTAGTTGTTATGTTCTCTTTATTCTCTTTAATCTAGAGTAATTAATTCCTATTTTTTGCCCCTCCATGTTGTTGACTTTTGGAAGAGACCAGACCAGTTGTCTTATTTCCTTCAAGTTTTTTTAACTTGCTCTTCTAGCCCTTATATTTCCTGTAAATTAGAAGTTTTAAAGGTTTAATTAGATTCAGGCTTAAAGTTTCTGGAAAGAGTATTTTTTAAATGATATTGTGCTTCAGTGATATTTGTTTCAGTTCATTTTTAATTTTAAGGATTGCTTTTTTAAATTTATGACTTAATTTTATTTCTTTAGTGTGTAAAACATTTATATGATTTGAAATTAAAAACTATTTAAAAGGATATGATCAGAATAGTCTTGCCTCTGTTCCTTCTAATCTTAGGATGGTCACATCAATAAGCCGTAACATCAGGTTGCATCAAGGCTAGTGAAGCTAAGTTTAATCGCTTGGTTAAGGTGATGACCACCATATTTTTCCAGTATAGAAATGTGTTTCTCCACTTGCAATTAGCAGATGATCTATGGGGTAATACTTTGGCCCCATGCAAAACTCCTCTTTCATACCAATTTCTTTTTTATATTTTTATTTTTAGAGAGACGGGAAAGGAGGGAGAACGAGACGGGGGGAACACCAGTGTGTGGTTGCCTCTACTGGGGACCTGGCCTGCAACCCAGGCATGTGCCCTGACTGGGAATCAAACCAGCAACACTTTGGTTCTCAGGCTGGTACTCAAACCACTGAGCCACACTAGCCAGGGCTGCTTCGTTAACAATTTTAGCATGGATTGATGCTCCTTCCCTGAATGAACTATTTCATTAGGGACTGCAAAAGGGATTTTCCAACTCTTTTTACATTTAATAGTTGGCATTGTTCTGTAAAGAAGAGCTTTTCCTTATTAATTGGGGGTGAATTTTTGTTCATCCTAAAATAGCAGGATAAATGCTTAACTTTTTTCTCTAATTGTCCATTTGTAAAGAGTTGGTGCCATAATTATCTTCAGTTAAGGTGGCAAATGAGTTTTTAAAAAATTTTATTTGACTCATGGATCTTCATTTATTGGGTTTTACAGTTAATTGCAATCATAATTCTTTGTGCTGCCCAAGTTGTCACAAATTGGCCAGCGGGAGCGTCTTAACACTGGCTCCTACATCCTTTTGACGCCTCCCCACTCACCCCCTAAATGAATTTGTGAGCGTTTCCTGGCTTTCTGTCACAATATGGCCCATGTTCACCTTATAAATTCTCTGTCCCATGCTGTTCATTTTAGTGGGGGATGGGATTTAGAAACCATCTGGTATGTCAGTATGTTCCAAAAGGAGGTGTCAGTGGCCAAGTTAGGCATTATATTTTTTAAAAAAATATTTGAGTTCATCTTGTTTTTTTATTCAAATTTTATCTGATTCAAATTTTAAATTATAGGAGTTTTAATATATTTTTTCTTATACTGAATATTTTTTTTTAAAATCACTACTAAACTGTTTATTTTCCATGCATGAAATAGTCTCAAAATTATAACACCCGTATTACTACAAATAGTAAAACTACTAAATAGGATTTAAGATTTCTCTGCAGTTTTTGTTGTTGTTGTTATTGTTTTTGTTTTGTCCTTAGAATATATCCTACTAAGGGTATATAGTCAGAGTGCTCTGTTCAAAACTCACTGGAGGTAATTATTTTTTCCATATGATTTTGCTTTCTAGTTTGATATATAGTAAGGTTTATTTGTTTCAGTTTGTTTTTAATTTTCAGGGTTGCTTTTTTTTCTTTATGATTAAAATCTTATTTTTGAATATAGCAAACATTTACATGATTCAACAGTTAAAACTGTTTGAAAAAGTATACTCAGGGAAGCCTTACTTCCATCCCTAGCTCCTCCAATCCTGTTAACCTCCTTCTATATAGGTAACTGTTTTTATTATTTCTTATTTAGCCTTCCAGTTGTTTCCTTTGTCAAAATAAGTAAGAATACATGTTTTGAAAATGATTTTTTCCCTCCCCAACCCAAAAAGGTGGCATAAAATATACACTCAAGACAACACCTTGGTTTTTTTACCAAACAGCATATCCTAGAGATCATTTCCTATCAGTAAGAAGAGGTTTTCCTCATTCTTTTTTTATGTGTGTTGTTCTCACTTGTGATCAGTTGGTGGATATTGGGTTGTTTCCCATCTTTTGCTATTTCAGATAATGCCACTATGAATAACTTTATGCATGTGTTACTTTTTAATCTACTAGATGAGAATTCGCATCTTGGAGTTCTTTTAATTTATATTACTCCTTGAGTGAGGTTAACGATCTTTTCATATGTTTAAGGATTTATTTGTATTTTTTTCTGAGAAGGGTTCATTATATCTTTAGCCAAGTTTTCTATGTGGTTTTGTTTTTTTCTTCTTAGTTTTTAAGAGTTCTTTATAGTATAGGTATAAATAAATCTATATAATAGATATAAAATATCCCAAAATATAATTATATATAAATATTATATTTGTTTTATAGCTATATGTCTTGTATATATCTATGTAAATAGATATAAAGTACTGTGATATAAATTGCAAATACTTTTGGTTTGTCATTTGCTTTTTTGACTTGAACTTATAGCATTTTTTTTGTTTTGTTTTGCAGAAATTTGTTTTTATGTCGTCACATTTATCATCCTCTTCTTTGATTGTTTTTGGGTTTTGAATCATAGAGGGTTTTTTTCTATACCTTTTTTTTCATTATTAAGAAATTCACCCATGTTTTCTTCTAGTACCTGTATGATTTATTTATTCATTTTTACTTTATATTATGGAAAATTTCAAACATTCAAAATTGAGAAAATAATATAGTGAATTGAGCATCAGTAGTTATCAATTAATGGACATTGAGCCTGATATTAATTCTTACCATTGACTTTATCTTGTAGCCCCTAAGATTTCTGCTGGTACCAGCTGTATAAAATGGGAGGAACAAACTTCAGAGGAAGTATTCAGACTTTATCGTGCCATTGGAAATATAGTAAGTTAAAAGTCAGATTGCAGTTTTACTTAATTGTGTGTGTCTAAGTATGTAATTCACTTTCAAAATATTTTTAATTTAATAATGAGCCTCATAAACTAAACCTAAAAATCCTTAAAAAATAATTTTTTATTTTGGTAAAATATAAAAACATGAAATTTACCATTTTAACTACTTTAGGTTGGTGGCATTAAGTAATCTCTGATCTGTAGTTTGTTCATCAGAAAGTTAAGACTTAATATTATGTATATAAAGCATCTAGTACAGTATATGGCACAGAAAAGTTACTCATTAAATATCTACTATTATTTATTCATTTAACAAAATATTGAAGGCCTATATTATGGCAGGCATTATTCTAGGTACTAGAGATGAAGATGATGTGGGAAGAAAGACAACAAATACACAAGTAAATAAAAAATATCAGATAGTGATAGGTTCTTTGATAAAAATTTAAAAAGGATAATGTGATAGACTAACTGGAGGTTATTCTATTTTAGATTTTATTTATTTATGTTTAGAGAGAGAAAAGGGAAGGAGAAAGAGAGGGAAAGAAACATCAATTGTTTTTTCTCTTACATGCCCCCTGCTGGGGACCTGGCCCACAACCTAGGCATGTGCCCTGATGGGGAATCAAACTGGCAACCTTCTGGTTTGCAGGCTGGCACTCAATCCACTGAGCCACACCATCCAGGTCTGGAGGTTATTTTAGATTGGATAGATGGGGAAGGCCTCTCTGAACTAACATTGAAGCTGAGAAGTGAAAGACAGTAAGGAGCCAGCGATGCCAAGGTCAGGAAAAGAACATTCCAAGCAGAGAAGGAACTAGTTCAAAACTCAAGGTAGGCAAAAGCAGATAAAAACATAACAAAAAAAAGAAAACTAAAAATCACTATACCTTATGAATATATAGGCAAAAAAACCCTCAACATAATTAGCAAACTGAATCAAACAACACGTAGAAAAGGATTATACACTATCACTGAGTGAGATTTATCTGAGAAATGCAAGGTTGATTCAACAAAAAAATCAATCAACACAATATAGCATATTAATAGAATAAAGAACAAGAGCCACAGAATTGTCTCAACAGATGCAGGAAAAGCATTTGACAAAGTCCAATGTCCTTTCATGATAAAAACAAACTCAATGAACTAAGAATAGAAGGAAACTTCCCCAACCTGGTAAAGAACATCTATAAAAAACCCATGGTTAACAAATTTAATGGTGAGAGACTGAAAGCTTTCCCCCTGAGATCAGGAGCAAGAGAAGGCCATCTGCTGTCACCACTTCTATTGAACATTGTACTGGAGGTAATAGCCAGGGCAGTTAGACAAGGGGGGAGAAAGGTAACCAGATTGGAAAGGAAGAAGTAAAACTATTTCTGTTTGCAGATGATATGATCTTATATAGAGAAAGTCATAAAGAATCCCCCCAAAAAACTGTTAGAGGTAATAAACAGTAAAGAAGACCTAAGTAAATAGAAAGACCTCTCTGTTCATGGATTGGAAGACTTCCTATCGTTAAGATGGCACCAGTCTCCAAACTGATTTTACAGATTCAGCACAATTCCTATAAAAATCCTAGTTGACTTCTTTGCAGAAATTGACAAGCTGATTCTAAAATTCATATGGAATGCCAAGAAACCCAAAATCGCAAAAAATTCTTGAAAAAGAAGAACAAAGTTGGAGGATGCACACTGCCTGATTTTGACACTTGCTACAAAGTTAGAGTAATCAAGAAGTGTGGTACTGACATAATGTAGACATATGGCTCAATGGGATAGAATTGAGAGTCCAGAAATAAACCCACCCATTTATGGTCAATTAATTTTTTATAAAAGTACCAATACAATTTGATACGAAAGAATAGTTTTTTTACCACATGGAGCTTGGTCAACTGGATATCCACAATCAGAAGAATGAATTTGGATTCCTAACTCACAACATTTATAAAAAATGAACTCAAAATGGATTAGAGACCTAAATATGGAAGCTAAAATCATGAAATTATTGGAAGAAAACATAGGAATAAATCTTAATGACTTTGAATCAGGCAGTGGTTCTCAGATATCTTGCCTAATGGATAAGCAACCAAACTAAAATTAGAGAAATTGGACTTTAAAATTACAAACTGTTGGGCTTCAAAGCACATTCTCAAGAAAATGAAAAGTCAACCTACAGAAGAAAATATTTGCAAAACATACCTGATAAGGGTCTAGTATCCAGAATATATAAAGAAATAGCAAAAAGACAACCCGATTAGGAAATACACATGGAATCTGAGATTTCTTCCAAGCAGACGTATAAATGACAGAGAAGCACAGGAAAACATGATCGACTTATTTATTCATTAGAAAGATGCAAATGAAAACTTCACTGGAATACCACTTCTCACTTACTAGAATCACTATAATTTAAAAAAAAAAATAACAGACAACAGCAATAGTTGAGACAGATGTGGAGAAATTTGGAATCCTCATACATTGTTGGTGGGAATGTAAAGTGGCGCCACTGCTGTGGAAAACAATTTGACATTTTTTTCAAAAAGTTAAACACAGAGATACATTGCTACATAATGATCCTTATTTCTGCAATTCACCTTTCTTTTCCACGAGAAAACCTTGTGCTATAACAGAGGTACTTTTCTTGGAGCCAAAAGTGAAATTTGATTCCCAGAGCTTCCATTTACTAACCAAGAGCAACACCCTTATCTTCTCTGAGCTTCTGCTTTTTTACCTCCAGAACGGAGTTAATGACTGTCCACAACTGTCAAGATCAAAGGAGATAAACTGTGAATTTAAATCGTTGCAAAAATGATTGTGTCAGTAATGACTGGACACTGAAATGACTATGTTTTTACCATCCCTTTCCTTTCTGCAATGCTCTGAAGATAAAGATATGCTTTACCTCCTCAGCAATACAAACTGTGTGTTTTGATTATATCCCCAATATATTTATAGCTCTCAGCATACCTAAATCTCTTTTTAGTCAGTAAGCATGTTTCCAAAGTACATTGAGTTCTTTGAAAGAAAAAAAGTTACACATGTTTTTCTTTAAAAAGTTACACACTTGTTCTTTAAAAAATTACAATGAAAAAACTTTCATTGGAGCAATACAAGTAAATCATAATGAGTGAACAAGTTATAAAAGAGGATATTTTATCAAAATATGTCAGATGTAAGGTTAGGAACACCTATGAACTTTTCTTCAAATCTAATTTTTTAAATTTAATGTTCAAACTTTTGCAACAACCTAACTCTTCTAAAAATTAAATGTGTTCTTCAAGGGATCCCCTAAAAAAGAGCACTGAGAATGAAAAGACATAGATTCTGATCCTTGGCTCTGTTACTACCTAGCGGTGTCCGACCTTTGGGGAAAAAAAAATAGCTGCATTTCTCTGGGCTTCATTTTCTTCATCTATGAAATAAAAGTTTATTTTTAACTATAATTTGAAAATAAACTTATTTAATTCAGAAGTTTGGTATGTGTTAATTTTTGTTAACATCTTTAAATCAAGTTCTAGGGTGTCAGGTATATTGGAAATGTCGTAGGTGGCATTTCACGTTGCGGGGGAGGGTGAGAGGGATTATCCAGCAAATAGCGTGGGGACAACTGGTTACCCATTAGAGGGCTCCCTTTTAAAGTCAGAATAAAACCTAGTTGGGTCAAGGATTTAAATCTTTAAAAAACCACAAAGGACTAGAAAAAGCACAATTGAATAATTTTATAGTATTTAATCTTGGAGTATGGGGTAAGGCCTTTTTTAAGCATGACATCAACCGCTGAAATCATGAGAGAAAAGACTGATAAATATTACTCAATAAAAATTTAAGAACTTATGCATGGAAAAAAAAAAGTGTACCTAAGGCTAAAAAGTCAACCAACTGGGAAAAATATTCATAACACATGCAAGAGTTAAAGAGCTAATTCCCTAAAAATATAAAAGGCTCTTATGAATTAATAGGCAAAGATGAGCACTTCAAGTGTTTTTTAAAAACAGGCAAAGAGTATAAATTGGTAGTTTATAGTAAATAAATAAAGTGTGCATGCAAGTATATGGGATGTTCCTTGGCCTTACTAATAAAAAACAGCAATATATTATCATTTTTTTTCTATCAAGGCAGTTTAACAATAAAGCACTGATGCTCTTTAATCTAGGTAGCCCATTAAAAAAAAAAATAACTATCCTCCAGAAATATAAAAGTCCTCAAATATGTATCTACCAGGCTATTTATTACCATATTTTATAATTTTATAATACCAAGAAATTGAAAATAATAAATATTTATCATGAAGGTATTAGTTGCATAAATTATGGTACATTCATAAAATGAAATACTATGGACCTGCCTGGTGGGGCTCAGTGGATTGAGCGCAGGCCTGCAAGCCGAAAGGTTGCCAGTTTGATTCCCAGTCAGGGCACATGCCTGGGTTGTGGGCCAGGTCCCCATTTGGAGGCATGTGAGAGGCAACCAATTGATGTATCCCTTGCACATTGATGTTTCTCTCTCTCTTTCTTCCTCCCTTCCCTTTTAAATATAAATAAAATCTTTTTAAAAGATGAACTACTATGCAACAGATAAAAAGAGTGAAGTAGATAAGTGTGTGCTAATGAAAAGTTGCCCATTTATGGTTAAGTAAAAAAAAAAAAATTCTTATAAAACTATATGTTATAGACTTGTAATAATATATTTGTTTAAAAAACAAGGATTTTACTTATAGGCCTCAAACTGTTATCAGTGGGTACCTCTGGGGACAGGAGTACAGAATACTTCCACTTTCTAAATTTTTTAATGTGATTGCTGTAATGTTTATATAATAATGTGCATATATTTTTAATTAGGAATAGTTATAAAGGTATAAACATTGATTTAAAATAGTATTTAATGTTAAGATCTTTAAGATCCTGGGGTTTAACATAGAGGATCATGTTTATGTTCTGTTCCATACAATTTAGAATCTGAGTTCCCAGTTCCTCTGTAATTGGGAGACAAGTCAGACCCAATTAACACAGAATAGTAGTTGAAAACGGTTTGCGGGTTGAGGGTATTTCTTTAATCATACCTTCTTTAATTATATTTGCAGATTCCGTTGCAGACACTCTGGATGGATAATACCATTAAACTTCTGGATTTGGTAGAAGTCAATAGTTCAGTTCTTGCTGGTACTAACTTTTGAATAGCTGACATGGAAAAATTTTCACTCTAGTCTGAAAATGTGTGTTTTACCATAGGTCACATTCACTTAAAATAAGGATTCTTTTAGTTTGTTTCAGTTTAACAGTGATAATACTTTACATTCATTTAGTGTTCATTCAAATATATTTTCTCATTTAATCATCATAGGAACCTGGGAAGTAGGCAGAGCAATGTTATCACCCCATTTTTAAGTTCTGTGATTTCCTGCACTAAGGTTTTTAGGGAGTGCAAAATGACTTGGTTAATTTCATTCTGGTAAATATCATAATGAAAATGTCTGGGCAGCTCAGTGAGGCTCTTAGGCCAGGGTGTAGCATTTCACACTACAGATCTATTCTGTGGTCCCTCAGTGCCCTCCCCATGTGGTGGACTGAAGGAGTGTGAGCCATAGTGGGCGCTGGTGTAGTTCAGAGGGAGTCAGAGTTCCCCAGAAATCTAAGAATTGGGATTTGTTTGGTCATGGATGAAGGGGCCAGCTTAGATCCTAAGTCTCCTGTATCGCTCCACTGGTAGCTAGTTATTTTCCCCAAATGGTCAAAACTTCAAGATTCAGCATTTTTAGATTGATCTTCAAAGAGACTGGGTAAAGGACTCATTAGCTTCTTATGTGTATGGAAAACTTCTTTTTGGGTCTGAGATACGCACAGAGTACCATGGCTCCCTTACACGTTTTGGGTTACAAAGTGAGGTCATCAGCAGGTATGTCCTCTATAGTTTTAGTACTGCCTCCCAAGATCTTTAAGAAGCACAATGAAGTTGTAGAATTGTTCTTGTTCTCTCATATCCTTTTTTTCCACCTCTCATTCTTTAGATCCAAAATTAATAGGACAGGCTGTTATTCCAGGATCCATAATATATCACAAGCAGTCACAAATACTTCTGGTTTGTTGCAAGGTACATTTCCTTTAGTTTTAAATTATCATACCTGTTTTACTGAATTTATAGTTTGTGTCATTTATCATTTTTAATTAGGACTTCACTGGACTGCTTGTTCATCAAACTGAGCCAGTGGGCATTTTTCTTAAGAATCTTGCCCTGGCCAGTGTGGCTCAGTCGGTTGGCGTGTCCTCTTGTAAACCGAAAGGTGATGGGTTCGATTCCCTCTCAGAGCACCTGCATAGGTTGCAGGTTCTGTCCCCAATGAGAGGCAACCAATCAATGTTTCTCTTTCACACTGATGTTTCTCTCCCTCTCTCTCCCCCTCCATTCCCCTCTCTCTAAAATCAATAAGCACGTCCTTGGGTGAGGATTTTTTAAAAAGAAAAAAATAGTAGAGTCTCTAGTGTAATTTTTTCTAAAGTGATGAAGTTTTGCCAAGCCATCACTAATCAAACAGTGAAAGAATCAGTAACTTTAGTGCTTCCTTAAAAGAAGCGTGTAGCGGGGAGGCAGAGACAAATGTATTTAAAAATAAAGAAAGAAAGAAAAAGCGTGTATATTCTAACTAATCCAATTTAATTAGCAAAGCTCTTGTTTAATTAACAAGTCATCTTGTTAATAAGACTATCAAAATTTATGTCAAAGTACTTAGCAGAACTACAGTAACATGTGTCCTACTTGCTTTTACTATTCAACAGTGGTTAGATGGGAGATTTTTTAACTATTTAAAATGACTTGGGAACCATTATTGTTTTATAAGACAATGGTGTTTTCCTAAGAAGTGTTCCACATTCCTTCTATTTCCTTCATGTGATGTTTATGTGAGAAGTTTCATGCTCATAAAGGGGTATTTAAAATGTGTGATAGATTAATATGACCTACACAGACTGTAGATACAGAACCCCTACATCAACCTTTCTTCATGTTTCTTCAACATATTCTGGAATAACACTGGTGCATATGTCTTGTCCTCATCCGGGTCTGCAGTTTGCTGTCATAGAAGAAGTTGGTGTTGTCTGCAGATGTGAGCTTAAGTCCCGCCAGTTACGTCACCTTGGACCAACTACTCACCCTCTCTGGGCATTAGTTTTCTCTTCTAAAATCAGTTTTCTCTGTGGGTAGTATTGGATCTATCTACCTTATAGAATGGTTATATTTTGATGCTCAGTCACAATAAGATACATGGACACACCCTGAAAGCTAAAGCATCATGCAAAAATACCTTTTTATTCTGCTCCCTCTGTTTAAATAGGTTTATACAGATTTGTACATTTGTTATCACTCCTTGGTAATAAACTTTTTAAGAAGATTTTCTTTTTCCTTCCTTCCTTCCTTCCTTCCTTCCTTCCTTCCTTCCTTCCTTCCTTCCTTCCTTCCTTCCTTCCTTTCTTCCTTCCTTTTCTTTCTTGAAGGGAGGGAGAGAAACATCAATGCTCGAGAGAAACATTGATGGGTTGCCTCTTGCACGCCTCCAGCTGAGGACCTGGCCAGCAACCCAGGCATGTCCCCTGACTGGGAACTGAACAGGAGACCCTTCATTTTGTGGGATGACACCCAACCCACTGAGCCATGCTGGCCAGGGCAGGTAATAAACTTTTAGAGTCAAAGAACTGTATATGTTACAGTGTTCTTTGCAGCTAGACATTTAGTAAAGGTTTTTTGGTTGGTTGATCTGTTTTCATGATAAAGTTTTATTAACTAGCCCTGGCTGATGTGGCTCAGTGGATCAAGCACTGGCCTGTGAAACAAAGGGTCGCCGGTTCAATTCCCAGTCAGGGCATATGCTGGGTTGCAGGCTCCCAGCAGGGGGAGCATGAGAGGCAACCACACATTAATGTATCTCTCCTTCTCTTTCTCTCTTCCCGTCTCTAAAAATAAATAAATAACATCTTTTAAAAAAAAAAGTTTTATAAACCAAAGTTTACTTAGTTTTATTACCACTTCACATTCATTATTTGTCTTTTGCCCTTTAGGATGGCTGGATTGGTGTTCGGTCAGTGATGCTCAAGAAAACACTAACAGCTACTGATTTCTACAATGGATATTTGCACCCCTGGCACCAGAAAAATCCCCAGGCTCATCCAAGCCAATGCAGATTTCAGACTCTCAGACTTCCAACAAAGAAGCAGGGGAAAAAAATTGTTGCTATGCAACAGTGCATTAAGTAGTTAGGAAGATGGACAAGACCTTACATATTTGTAATTTATTAAAAGCCTTATTTACAAGGAATTACTTTGACTTCAAAGAGTATGACACTACTGGAGAACAGAAGATTATTGTCAGGAAGATTGATGACCTCACTTCCCACTTTTGGACAGTAGTTAAACAACTTTTCTACCTGAATAACAAAAGAAACCTTAAATAAAATTTGTATCTGTGCCAAAGTCAAGGAGATTGTATCTTTCCCTAAGAGCAACTACAACTAACGCATAGGCATATATATACTGAAGAGAGGTTCTTGTAAAAAAAAAAAAAATGCATCTATTAAATTTTAAAAATGTATGTCCCCATTGTCTATGTTTTCATTTTAGGAATATTTAAACTGCATTCTGATTTTCAACAAGCAGTAAAGTCAGTTTTTTAAATTCCTCTACCATCTAGTTCCCATCAAGTAGTAAACAGGTAATAATAATCTGCACATTGCTCTTTACTATTAATTCACATTTTATGTCTAGGTTTTCTTGAGGTAGTAATATCCTAATATTTTTTCAACTTATTTATTCACTAAAAGTTATTGAGCATCTGGTCTGTGCAAACTCACCTTCTCTGTCTCTTAAGAGCATCAACTACTGGAGGAGGATAGAGGTGCAGTACCAGCTATTGAATTTTTATTTGAGGGTATTTACATTTCAGCTTTTCCTGCCTAGATTCTATCAGTTAAAATCTTTCTCAGCTCATCATTCATTCAACATTTATTGACAGGGTAATCATAATTGATCATGTAAATTAGGACATGTTCATAGTGAAAGGAAGTACTTGTAATAATTACTCCGGGACCACAGGCATAAACCAGTCCTCTCCCAGGCACACCAGGTTGTGTGGACACCGTATCTATTGAGCACTTTCTGTGTGACTAGCTTTTATGCTGGTTGCTGGAGATGAAACAATCAAATAATATTTGGTATCTTCAATCTATTGGAGAGGCAAACAGCAAATATAATACCTTTATAAATGCCACAATAGAGGTATTATGGGAGCCTTCACTCTCCCTCAAGGGAGTCAGTGGAGGCGTTGCAGAGGAAGTAAAGCTGAATCAGATTCTAAACCATGAGTTCACTATGCAACCCAAGGCCTGGAAGGGCATTCCAGCATGTGCCGAGGCACAGAGGCGTACAAAAACACTCTCACAGGGGGTTTGGTGATGCTCAAACTGGGTGGTGGGACCATGTTTGCCTTTAATTATTCTTTAAACCATACATTTGCTATGCATTCTCTCCAATGTATGGGCTAATTATCTAAATACATGAAAAGATGGTTGGCAAAGAGCTAACAGTGAATCATGGAAGAGAAACATGGCATGTTAAACACAGGAAACACAGTGTTTGGAAGAAATTAGAATTGATGTGAATGGGATATGATGATGGAGGCGAGACGGGAAGAGCAAGACTAGAAGGTCACATCATGGAGGACTGTTCTGTATGCAAGAGACTTAATCAGGGAAGTCATGTGACCAGATCTGCATTTTGGGAAAGTACTTTGGTTGTGTGGTAAAAGGCAGATTGGAGATAATACCTGGGATAGGAAGATCTGCTGGGAAGTTGGAAATGTGAAGATCTGGACTACAGTTCATCATGGGGGTCAGGGAAAGGATTTAAAAGGTTTTTACTGTGCAAGGGAAAGAATGTGGTTATTACTTGGGTATTTTATTCTCATGGAGAGCTTCGACCCCGCCACTAACTGCTCTTTGATCTCTAACAAGTCACTTAACATCACTGAACTTAAGTTTCCTCATGTGTGAAATGGGGCTGAAGATAAAAAGAACAAATCAAAAATACTCCCCAAATAGTTCTGAGAATCAACAATAGAATGTGTGAAAGTACTTTTCTTTTTTTTTTTTTTTTTTTGGTTTAAGTTTTGTTAGTGTGTATTGAACACTTATTCCCCTTTCTAGGCACTAAGCTCATGTCATGAAATTCAGAGGACGAGAATCAGTGCCCTCCGGGAGCTTTCAGGTGTGCGGTGGTATCTGTTTGTGCAGAGGGCCTAAGGAAGAGCCCACTCAGACGGGGCGCAGGGAGCGGGGAACCTCACTGAAGTCGCAGCTATCTATCAGTTCTGATCTCTTACTAGTGGTTAATGCTCTCAGGTCTGCCAGCCCACATTCTGGGCGGATCCTATCTGGTTGCTTAGCCAATTACCACTGCCCTTACCAGGCAGAGTAGAATCTCTTTTGTCAGACCACCTCTAGTCCTTGGCCCCTTAGCCAGACTGTGAGTCAAGGCCCACCCCAGTCCGATGATTTTACCTACGCAGATAACAGCCTAATGTTGGGTAGGGGGCTGTGGGTGATGCAGTGTGAGCTGAAAAGGGAAGCTGGCTGTCATGGTGGGCATACTTAGGACTGTATAAAATACCTTTCATCATACGAAATCTTGAGGTAAGAGTGCGAAGCCATCAGTAGAGGACAATTTCCCATCTAGAGAGCCTTGAGCCCATCCTGGGACTGGAGGATAAACACCAGGTTTAGAAACACCACCTTCCAGTTGGCAGCCCATTCTTTGAAAAAGTAAAGTGTGCACATCCCAGATAGGCCTTAGGAAACTATACGACTCACTCCGTTCAAGCACCTCTAGAAACCACAATCCAGCGTGACTGTGTGGGGCTTCCCATCTGAAAGAAAACCACCTGGGGTACTTGTTTCAAACTTAGATTCCTGGGCCCTCCTCCAGACCATGAGTCAGAATCTCTGGATATGAACTCTACGTTTTATCACACTCAACAAATAATTTTTATGCTAGAGTAGTAACAGCTTTAACTAGCTTAAGGGGTATGGATGGATCTGAGCCATATGCCGGCCTCTAGGTCCAGGGTCCTCATAGAGAATGTAGAACACAGTCTATTCTGTGCTCTGGCTAAAAGGATGGATTTGTAAGCATATTCCCTCCTTTGCAAGATGCTTCTATTTTGGTTCTTGTCGTTGCTGAAAAAACATCAGACTCAAAACAGAATTCAGGTACTCATTATTAGTTGGGTGGCCCAGGCTAAATTATTAAAAAATTTAAACTATGATTTCTCAGTTTAAAAAAAGTGTGATTCCTACCTTGAAGAATAGAAACACATATGGAATAGGCCCCAGGAAGTGCCTGGCACATAGTAGACACTTAATAAGTGGAAGTTAGTTTTGTTACCACAGTTGAAAACGGCCATACTCCCTCCTTTGGGCCTGCAACAGTCGTTCTCCTCTGGGAGGCGGCAATGGCTTTGCTGAGGCGCTTTTAGACCAACAGAAGGGAAGGAATTTTAGAGTGGGAAAGGATCTTTGATTTAGTAATTTGAAATTTCATTTTCAAAATAATGAAGCAGGGATCCAGCAACAGCTAGCTAGTGATTAGAAAACTGGAGACCACAGACTTTGTTTAAAAGGGCTTTACTCTTGATTTGGTTTAGGGGACAAAATAAATGTCCTAAGCATGAAAAGGAACTCTTGAGAGTGGTTGCCAAAAAGGACGTTTATTTGTTTTTACACTTTGTAGTTAAGGCAGTAAAACCTATTTTCGCCGTTTTCCTTTATGTTAATGAAACAACTTCAAGGTAAAGATATGCTATTTTGAGAAGCAGAGTCTTAGATTCAACAAACATGGTGTGAGCCCTGGCCTGGCCACTGAGTAAGCCCAGGCTAGTTACCCACGTTCTCCAAAATCAGTTCCCTTATCTATGAAATGAAAATTGTACCTACTTTGCAAAGATTGTCATGAGGAATAGAAATAATATTTGTAATGCACTTAGCGTAGTGCCCAATACACAGTAGATTCTCAACACTATTATTATTAGCTAACTTTTTATGAGTTCTGGCTATGTTTTTAAGGATTTAACCTGAACTATCTCATTTAATGTTTATAACAACCCTCTGAGCCAGCTACTGTTAATGATCCCTGTGTTTCCAGAATGTTACATAGCTCCTAAGTGGTGGAGCTGGAATTCACACCCCAGTAGTTTGACACCAGTCTGTGGTCCTAACCCTGGACTGCCCTGCCTCTATTTGCAATTGTTTTTATCCTTGATCGGGGAATTTAATGTATTAGGCTTTAGTGCTCAGAAACAAAGAAATGAAGCATATTTTGAGTGCGCATTATGCAGGCACTGTGCTAGACTACTTCAAAAACAGTTTTCTCATTTCAGTTACTGTTTAACCACTGTCTTTATTACCTCTGAGAATTCATAGTTTTCTAGAACTTTACAGATTTGTATTATTTGTAGTATATTTTGTGCAGCTCTTATTTTGCAGGGTTACTTATTGCTGTTCTTCTTCAAAGGTAGCTTATCACATTGTTATCTACAGAACAAATGAGATGCAAGGTTGACAGGTGGAAACTTTGCTTGGGAACTTTTACTTTAAAAAGTGAATAATGGACAAACATTAATTTAACCATGAAGTTACACTACTGTCTTCATTAAAGAGGCATTTTTGTGATGTTTCTTAAAAGTTTGATAGGAAAGAGAGAGGGTGAAGTATGATTATCAGAGAGAAGCAAACTTGAAGAAAGGCTATTGTAAAGAGTCTGTAATATATCTCATAAATATATAAAATCTAAAATCTTAAAATTGGAAAGAACTTAGAGATCATTTAGTGTAACCTTGGACTCATTTTATAGTGAAGGAAACCACCCCCATAGAGAGGAAATGTCTTGCCCAAGGACAGGTCTCAGGTTTAACTCCCAAATGATAATAAATTATTAATTACAACTAACTGTATATAGCTTATTTGATAGGACCTTTAGATAGCAAGCTGTAGAAGGGTCATATCAGTGTCTTCCCTGGGCAGTCCTAGAATTCCCACTCTGTATCTGATCCCTAGAATCCAGTGTGACACAGACTTGGTCTGGCAATGAGGACACATCATTCATTTTCAATCTTGGGTGTCAGCATAATTTGCTACATAACACTGCAGCCAATTGTACCCTGAGAAGCTTTAAAAGGATGGTGTTCCAACCACTGGTATTAGTGTGAAAGCAAAGAGTTTTGTTTCTCTTTCACTTTTTCACACATCCACAGTTCTTGGGGGTAAAATAGGGGTAAATGACTGGTGCATCAAGGGAGGGAGGCATTTGACATACTAGTATATAAACACCTAGAGGTTTGAGAACTTACGGGGTGTTCAGGGCCCTCTGAGAGAGCCAGACCTGCTCTAGACTGTGCACCTTTGACTTTGGCTTCAAGTGGGGAGCTATTGAAGGATTTAAAGCAGGGTTCAGGGCAGGATTTAAAGCATGAATATAGTTGCTTTTAATTATT